AATGATTTCTTACTTTAACTATATTAAATAGATAAAAGTGTGCTCTCCCTAGCTCTCTCGCTGTCTCGCTCACAGAGGCTGTGTGCTCCTCCGTGGCGATGACGGCTTGCGTTAAAAAATTATAATAAACATATTTGTAAAGTGGGGGGACACAAACGGGATTTCGAAAAGTGGGGGGACATGTCCCCCCTGTCCCCAGTGGAAATTATGCCATGCGTGTGTGTGCGTCAAGTGTAATAAATATATATGCAAGTTGCAAGTTGCAAGTTGCAACACACACACACACACACACACACACACACACACACACACACACACACACACACACACACACACCACACACACACACACACACACACACACACCACACACACACCACACACACACACACACACACACACACACACACACACACACAACACACACACACACACACACACACACACACACACACACACACACACACACACACACCACACACACACACACACACACACACACACACAACACACCACACACACACACACACACACAACCACACACACACACACACACACACACACACACACACACACACACACACACACACACACACACACACACACACACACACACACACACACACACACTAAAACTCTGTCCCTCATGTGCAGTATAGGCTGGCACGACTAGGCTGTACAATGGGGCTGATGTGTTGTAGATTCTGCCAGAAGGAAAATCACGGTCACACTCCTTATTTAGTGGCGAGGTGCCGCTCCACATTGCTTTTCTTCCCGACTGCTATGCTGGTCCCGCAAATCAAGCAAGAACGTGATTGGTTGATATTCATTGTGGGGGGAGGAGGGGTGTTCGATAGATATAGAGTTGTAGTAAGTAGATAGAGTTCGCTATGATTTAGGTTTAGTTTATGCATAGGGTAGATTCTTTTAAATTACATTTCCTTTTTTGTTTTGTGTATTTTTTACATTTTGGATTTGCTTGGCGAGCTATTTTTAGAACATGCCCCTGCGGGCAACTCACGTTGCCCCTGCGGGCGACTAAGTGGCACCGTGTTGGCTACCCCTGCGGGACAGACAGACTACTGAAGCCTCCTCTCCACATGAACTTCAACCTCTCTGTGAAGGTCAGGTTTAATGCAGTATGCTGCTTCTGTACTCTGTGCTCTGTGGTCTTTCATTCCAGTAGAACTCCTCAGAAACCATTAGAAACCAGTATTTGACCAATAAACAAAACAATTGACAAAACTTTGAACTATGAAATATATTAAACTTTGGTGAGCTTCAGCGGGGTAATGCCATATAGGAGCTCCCTCACAAATACCCAAGGGTTAAATTGGGCTGGGGCTGTCCGGGGCTAAGCCCGGCACATAGGACGATGCTCTGACGTCATCACCCTCACACATTTGTCATATGTTTACAAAAAACGATATATGTTAAGACTTTTCTCGTTCTTAATATAGACTATTTTTAGGGTCGATATGTGTTGACTTTACTTTAAAATAGCAGATCTCTGTGACCGGATTTTTTTTTTTTTGCTTAGTGAACATGTGTCTCTTCCTTGGAGGAGCAGCATCGCCCGGACTCTGCTGCTCCTCCGTGCAGAAAGTCTGCACTGCAGTAGTGTGCAGGCCCGGACTGGCCATCAGGAGGACCGGGAGGTTTCCCGATGGCCTGGCCTGTTAAGTGGCCTGCTGGCCTGAGGATTTATTTTTATTTTATGTATGTATTGTGAACGCAACGCTGCGCAAATGTGGGTCTGCCTCACAGAGGGTGACTGGCTGTCTACATGATGTGGCCTGCGACATGGCCACTTTCATACAGATCATACACTAATGCCCTCGATTGGTCTCTGTGTGTCATTCAAGCTCGGGAGGGTGTGTGTATGTGTGGCGCGAGCAAGCGAGAGAGAAAGCGCGTGCACCGGTTACGTGTATTGTTGTTGTTAGCATCTGGTGCTAGCTAGCTGCGCTAACGGATATAATGAGCTGTCAACAAGGTGGAGGAGAGTCCTCTCCAGTCAGACTGAGAGACTGATAACTACAGCTCAGGTGAGGTAAAGGACTCAGACTAAGTTAACTATCTAAACACTCAAAGTTCTCTGTGGGTCTCAAACGGTTTGGTCACCATTTATGTAAACACATATTTCCATTTGAAGGGGGAGTGATTAGTAAAAAAATGCATGAATAATAAAAAAAAATTTAACTAGGTGAAAAAAAGGTAAGATCAACTTTAAAAACTTGTTGAGAGCTAAAACTAGTCTTTGCTGCTGCCTCAAAGAGGAGCAGGGGGGAGAGGGGGGGAGAGGGGGGAGAGGGGGGAGAGGGGGGAGAGGAGGGAGACAGGAGAGGCTGATTCAGGAGCCCAGACACACTCACAACTATAAATAAACCAAAAACAAATAAACAAGTTTCAATGTTTTTTCATATTGGATATGGTATTTTATTGGTTATGGCCATGTTCTTATGAATTTATGATTATTTAAATGTATACTGTTTCATATGGGTGTAGTATTTCCCCCTCAAAATGCACCAGATTGATGCATTTAAGTCCAACATTTAAAAAAAAAATCTTACCGGGGGAGCATGCCCCCGGACCCCTCCTAGAGGATTTCAGGTCCACCTCCACTTAAAATATGTTCACATGGATAGGTTCCTAAATAGATTTGCACATTTTTTTAAAATAGTAACCCATGTCCATATGTTTATTCTGGGGTAGTAGATTTAAAGTTTAAGGCTATCACTATGGGCAGCAACGCTGTAAATATTGACAAATAAATCCAGGAAAATGGCACAAAAGGAAACTGGTAGTGGCCTGGCTGGTTGTATAATTCCCGGCCTGACTTATTGTCCCAGTCCGGCCCTGGTGGTGTGTGTCAGCGATGTGCATTCAGGGGAGGCACGGATTGGTCATCGGGATTAAGACTTTATTAGTCGACTAGTGATTATTCGACTATGTTTAGTGCAGGGGTGCCCAATAGGATGATTGCAATCGACTGGTAGTTCACAATGCAGTAGATCGTGGCAAATTCAAATCTCTCCAACCATATTGTCTGGTAGTTTTTTGTTAAAGGAATGCTCCACTCATTAGATAATTAATAAAAACTTCAGTATTTAGTGAAACATTATGTTTAAACCATACCCTGAAGAAATCAGCGATATTCCCCGGTAAATAATGATTTTATAGCTCTTTTTTATCAAAACCTGTATATTCCGTCAGGCAGCTGCCATTTTGGCCATTTTCAGTAGTCACGTGATGGTCATGACGTCATCCATGCGTTCACTTTGTAAACACACGAAAACATGGCGGAGTATTTGAGTTCGGACTCGTCAGCCGAGGAAGAAGTTTTGAGCAATGTGAAGAGATTGGATGGTGGAATTCAGCAATACAGGTTCGAGCCAAGTAGTCAGAACCGTCAGGAATCCAGGGACAGTGACGATGAGGATGAAATGTATGCATGTAGTACCACCCTTGCTAGCGATTCCCTCTCTAGTTTAGCATACTCAGCCTCGTTGTCCCTGGCCCTAGAACCACGATTTTATGGGGCCGGAAAAACTGGGGAAAAGTACCCGCTAGCCGGTACTACGCTATATGGAAAGGCCACCAAAAACTGGCCTGGCCTGGACGCTAAAGGACGTTTAAACGGGGCTACCCGCTACAATGGAAATGCGCCATAACATACCTTATTCTTACTCCTAGCACTACTTCTGGTCCTCCGTCGCTTCACACTTGCAGAGGGCGATTTCTCAACTGGCCGAACGGGTGTCCTGGTCGGTGATGACACCAGAAAGACCGATGGTACTGCATCTCCATTAAGTAATGGTTGTTTAATAAATCCCATTTTATGTTTTATCATACTCTCAGAGTAGTCGTCCGGAAACTTGAAATGTTCGCTGCATACATGCGCCTGTGGATCTTTCGGTTCGGGCCGAGCACATTTCGCTAGCCACTGCCTCCGAACGTACTTCCTACGCTTACCCGTTGGCAATAGATGGAACCGAGCATTCCGTGGATTGTTCCTATCCAAATTGTGGCAATGTTTCGCGATACAATGAGGCATATTTCTATAGAATTGAGAGTAACTAGAGTAAACAACATGAATATCAATTTGTCCTCGACACCAAACGCATAGTTTACGTCACTTCCGGTAAAATGGCGCCGCCCACAGTGTTGATGTTATTTCGGTAATTAATCAGTTTAAAATCACTGATAATGTCATCGGATTAAAAAAAAAAAAAAAAGACTGGCAGAGACTGGTCTGTTTTATCGGATGATAATTATTAAAAAATGCGTGTCATGAGCATTCCCTCCCTTTAAGCACAATTTAAAGTCTTTTCAAATGTAGTCAGCACCACCCCCTCTCATCGATGCCACAAGGGCACAATGAGGCGCCTTCAGCGCATACAGTGCCTCCAGAGCGCACAGGGACGATGCTTCTGAGCCTTTTGGAAAGGAAAAATAATATTTCTAATTCAGGTGCCGTACTCATGCCGCCTTTTGGCGTGCTCAAATCCAGAGACGGAACAGACATCTCCTCAAAGACAAATGGAGCATTATTTAACACCAGGAAATTACTGTTATATCGATTCAATAATGAAATTGCTTTTATGAAAAAGTTTCCAACCATATTTTATGAATATTAACTGTGTGTCGTCTCTCGTACACGTTCACATTGTTTAACACAACAGCGATTGCACAAAAAAAAAGTTGGAAAGCGGACCCGATGCGCCCTGGTGACCGAACATTAACTTACTTTGCTGCTGTGCCGATTCTGGCTGGAGAGAGTAAATTGCGAGCGGTTATATATATCCTTGAAAAAGTGTGGGCACCCCTGGTTAAGTGCCTTATGATCATTTTTTTATGGGCATTTTTGGGGGGAAATGGTGAAACGGAAATAAATAACTACCTTTCTGTCCCACAATATATTGATATACCTGACAACCTGAACCTAATGTCCACTCTCTTTTATCATGTATGGTGTTAGTAGCTGCTGCAGTGACTCACGTAGCAGCCTCTGGCCGCTCCCCGCTCTCTGAACAGCTCTCCTCGTTGCCGGGGGCCGGCTGGCTGGTCCCAGGCTGCGGCCCCTCCGGCCCTGAGGCCTGGGGGCCAGCAGGAGCCTCAGGGGTCTGCTGCAGGTCCTGGGCAGAGGAGGGAACAGGTTTGGGCGGGGAGGAGTCGTGCTGAGCAGGATCTGCAGAGGCTGGGCTCGCTGCTGGGGAGGAGGTGGGCTGCAGCTGAGACACACAGGAAGGAACACCTCACAAACTGACCACTCACACAGCCTGAATGTACCTATGCTCTGTGGAATCATTTAACTGCACACAATGTTACCTCCTTTGTACATCACTTCTGACAAAAATAATAAATGGAAATAAAACACATCACATTGTTCTCACCCGGAACTCTTTGCCGAACTTGCGCAGCTCCTCCAGCTGGTTCCTCTGCTGCACAGAGGGAGCTGCAAAAATGGGATGGGGTTAGAAAGCACTGATCACCACATACTAAACACTGGAGACAGTGTATATATTATTATATTATTATTCCCTGAAAGCCGGTAGAAGACGCTGCATTTGTACGGTAGGGCTGTACCCGAATATTCGTTCGTTGGAGTACTATTCGGGTTTCAATTTCGTTATTCGGATATTCGTTTTGTTTTTTTCCCAAATAGAATTTATTGAAATCTCCAATATCAAGAGCTTGTGCCTCTTCGGGGGGTGCTAACACTTAACCAAACGTTATTGTTTACTTTCTCCGTCTTTATATGTAGATATTACTTTTCTCCGTTAATCTCCGTCACGTTGTTTCCAAAGCAACAACAACTTCCTGTCAACAGCGCTACCTCTCCTTCAAAATAAAAGCATGTCCATAAATACACTGAACAAAATATAAATGCAACACTTTTGTTTTTGCTCCCATTTTTCATGAGATGAACTCAAAGATCTAAAACATTTTCTATATACACAAAATAACCATTTCTCTCAAATATTGTTCACAAATCTGAAAAAATCTGTGATAGTGAGCACTTCTCCTTTGCCGAGATAATCCATCCCACCTCACAGGTGTGGCATATCAAGATGCTGATTAGACAGCATGATTATTGCACAGGTGTGCCTTAGGCTGGCCACAATAAAAGGCCGACCCAAAGTGAATCCAACCAGTAAGAACACCTAGGGGAGTGAGCAACCGACCCAAACTCCTCCCCACGGACTCTCTGATTCGCTTAGGAGTAAAATGGGACGGAAGAGCCGACACACATCTCCGCCCCAAATATGTCCATATATACTGTTGTTTCTTCATGCAAAATGCTCCCTGTTTCTGACTGGCTGGTCCCGATATCTGTATCGCACGGCAGTAGAGTGGGGAGCCCGGAGTGCTCTGTTTCAGGGCACTTTGTATTTCGTATTGTGTTATTTACCATTAAAATCAGATTATTGTTATAACTTTTATGCCGGTGTGTTGAACTCCCTCTTTTATCAATCTGACCAGGCTCATCTAAACGGACGGCGCGGAGCAGAAGTGGGCTTTAAGCCGCACGCACGCAGCCGGAATCCGGTTCACTTCCAGCTCCAAAAACATTTCTGTCTAGAGGCAAGAGCTTCGGAGCTAAGAGGTGGCGTCGCTTACGTCTCTCTTACGTCGAGGCGTGCAGGAAACTAAACCCACCTCCCCTGAACATGGGTCGACTGTCATGCCTGCCTACAAGCAGTAGTGCTTATAATCAGGGGTGCACATAACTTTTTTGCCCTGGTTCTCAAAGGAGCACCTGGAGATGTTGCTTGGTGCTCATCCTTAAAATGAAATAAACCGTAACTTTTGAGGGGGTCTTGACTTTATTTGCCAGACACACGGCACTGAACACACATGCAGAGGTGCACACAGAACACACATGCAGAGGTGAACACAAGACAACATTAGCACGACCAGTAATCCTACAAGCTGTCATCACTACCCTCCTCACTGTCTTCCTCTCTGTCAGACATGGTAGCTGATGATGTAGGCCTACTTCTTCCTCTCTGGTTGAGTCTGCGATTAGATGCTTTATTCCACAAGTCAACAGCTGCTTTTGAGTCGAAAGTCTCTGTTGTCATCTTAGACAAGTGGATGTAATCAAATAAGTATGTGAACATAACCAATAGCCTACCATAGCCAATAACAAATTAATGTAACTTATTTTATTTGTGTTGTTCATTCATATCTTATTTTACCTTAACATTTATTTATTTATGCATTTTTTTTGTATCTCTCCAGTTTTAAAGGATATTTTTGGTTACTGTCCCATAGTATACATTGGAATGATTTGAAACCTGTTTATCCCAATAATTATAAAGGAGTGCCTTGGAAATATGTGTTTACATAAATTGTGACCAAACCGTTTGAATTTAGTCCTTTACCTCACTGAGCTGTAGTTAACTTATCAGCCTCTCAGTCTGACTGGAGAGGACTCTCCCTCCACATTATTGTAGAAACATCTTCTTCTTATCTCCGTTAGAGCAGCTAGCACGGCACCAGATTATAATAACAACAGCGCTGGTACCACCCTCCCTCTCTCCCTCGCTCACTCGCATTTTGTCTGTGAGCTGCGGGCGCCAGATAAGCCAACATCCCCCATTTTCATCACTTACAGCGCCCATCATACAGGGCAAATGAAACGTGTAACCGGGGTGAAAAGGGTGTTACATTTACTTAATTGTGAATATTGTTACATCAAGGCCGAAAATTAGGATGAGCCCCAACGGTCAAAATGTTTTTTTCCCTCCCAGAACTGCCAGCGCAGCGACTCCCCAGATCTGGCGCCCTAGGCGAACATCTAGCCAGCGCTACGGGCCGGCCCTGAGTTCATATCATGGTTCATATGCAACTCGCAAATATCTTTCTCTCTCATCTCTCTCCTCTATTTTCTCTTTTCTCTTCTCTCTCTCCCTCTCAATGTTGGTACGCAAATGCGCTTTGTTTCAAATGACCCAGTGCTCTTTTTTTGGCGGAGGTGCGCATGCGCACCTGCGCACCAGTTATGTGCAGCCCTGCTTATAAACACACTTTATAAAGTCAGGCAACACTAACCAGGCTTCGTGTGATTCTGTTTATTTGTACCTTACTTTGACCATCCGTTCACTGTTATTGATCATTGTGGAGAGAGGCAGACGTGTTGTTTTGTATTATAGCAGCTATCGGATGGAATCAATACATGGGCTGCACAGGTTGTCGTGTCCGACTATCACAAGTAGAATCATAATAAAAATACGCCGGTAAAATGTGCCTGTAGAAAACGGTTTATGCCACAATAGGATAGCAATAGCAAGTAGTCAGTTTAGCTTCGGTTGCTATGCTAACATCACCCATTTTATACCAGAGAAACTTTCATAACAGCGTTGTGATACCAAACAGCGTCAATTCAGACTGACACACATTCACTTAGGCTAAGGAGAACTGGGGATATGTATCAGCTGCTTGTGTGAGTCGGCCAGTGAATACTTTAGAGCGGCCGCTGCAGTGTGAGCTAACCGGGAGCTAACGGAGGAGAATAAACTCCCGTAGAAGAGCAGCCAACAGTGCAGCGGTCGGTAAATGCTGCAGAAACACATTCATAAACAATGAACCACGGCACTCTGGAGCAAAGTATAAGGTTAGAGAAGTCGTTATTCAATTTATTCTGGCTTCGTGTGATTAAAAGCAACACGATCATCGACCCGACGCAGTTCCCCGTTGTTGTTGTGAGCGCCGTAATGCCGTTGGGGAGCAAATCAGCGATGTAAACGGTGACGTCATGACGCAGCAGCGGCAGCACCAGTCGGGTGCTGGGCGGTGTGAACAGAGCGGGAGCAGAAAAGGGAAACCGGAGCTGAACCAGAAAAGCTCTAGCTCGGAGCTAGAAAGGGAAAAGCGCTGGTGTGAAAGCCGCATGTGTGTGTTTGTTCGATGTGTGTCCGACAAATTACCATGCACAGTAATTTACACACATCTGGCCAACTCCATAGGTATATGTGTGTGTTCCCAAATGAAATAGATGTGTTTAATCTTAATCTTGATGTAGTGCTCAGTGCTGTCGGAGTGCAGTGGAACACTGCGGTCAACTCAGCCGTCTCTCGCGTTTGCTTGGTCAAATCAGCAGTTTTCATTTTTGAGTGCACGATTAATCGCGCCTTTCCAGTAACCGCCGAGAAGCGGCACTGACGCTAGTACAAGAGTAAAATAATGCATGTGTTTGTGCTATAAAAATATGTTTTACCAAAAGTTCTTAATAAAACTGACACTGTTGGACTCAGTACTAGTTTGACTGCTACCAACAATAAAATGAAGTACTTTAATGTGTACTTTTTCAGTTATTCTCTGTCAAACTCCCCTCCTGAGAACAAATTCAAGCCACTTCTGCTATATTTGATGAGGGATAAAATGATTTTAGCCATAAGTTCTTAATAAAAGTGGTACTGTTGGATTCAGTACTTGTAAAGGCCCTGACACACCAAGCTGACACCAAAGAACACGTCCCGACGGACCCGACTGTTGTGTCGCCTCACGTCTCCTGCGTCTTGGCCAAAAAGTTGCACTGGAACACACCGCAAAGACTTCAGCCGACGGCCAAGTGAGTCGCAATAACTCTCCTTACCAGCAGGCGGCGGTAGTGTGTATTCGTCATTCAAAAGAGGCAACCGGAAGACAGACTGCATGACAGAGTGGCGAAGTCCCTCCCCTTCCGGCGAAAAAATTATGTATTGAAGTCAATGGAGAGAGAAAGATTATCTTTCGATCCCGTTTGAATTGTGCCACGAATTACACATATGATGTTTGTCAATTTAAAAGATAATTTTGCAAGTCAAAAAAATATAATAAATGTGTCGTAAAACTGTGAAGTAACGCATTTGTTTGTGTGAAACGCTCAATGAACTACATCTCTGGTCTCGCAGAACAACACACGTCACCAAGATGGCCGTCACTACTGTCTTGTCAACAAAACGATTGACTACCCTCACTATCACCACAATGAAACACGTCCAGAAGAATGTCATGCAAAGCTGCCTGCCTTCCTTTGATTCTCTCTGAACTGCCTGGTCTTTTTAATGTTTAATGTCAACCATTTGTGCAGATAGCATGAAGTAGAAAAGATCTGCGATCGCCGATTCTAGCGTTAGCATTTCTCCCCCGGGCTTAAATTGTGTATTATAGAATGATCACACCGGTGACAGTACTCTTCAAAGGGTTCACGAAATATGACTACTACTCTTACGGTTTAACATTTTGGGTTACTTAATGTTACTTCATATTAAGGCTAATAAAAATGACAAGGCTGTAATGCTAACTAACGTGCTAGCTAGGTAGCTAACTTGATCCAGCCACTCCTGGTCCTTTCATCAGACGGGAAGCGAAAGAACGAGCAAGACCCATTGCTGGTATGATAACAACCTGGTACTAAGCACACAGGCATCTTGTTAAAGTTATCTTATCTTAGCCAGCACCATTTAGATATATTATATCTATGTGGCGCTGATCTTAGCTATCTCTCAGTGGAGGAAAACAATTGTGACATCACTTACGCGATTCTGGGATTTGTAGTCTTTCTAGTTGCGTATTTTTCACAGTCTTATATTTCAACAGTTTTACGACAAACTGTGACTTTTTTGACATGGAAATTATTTTTTAAGATTGACAAACATCATATGTGTAATTCGTGGCACAATTCAAACGGGATCGAAAGATGAGTTTTCTCTCTCCATTGACTTCAATACATTATTTTTCCGAAATAAGGTCCCATTGACCGGAAGTAGATGGGCGTGACTTCGACACTCTATATACAAACAACAAATAGTTACATGCTACAGCTCGAGCCAAGTAGCACAGGGATGAACTATGCCAATATTTTAACAGTATCGGTGCAGTGCCTTTTCAGTGGGGCAAGATATAGCAAATATGTGTGCCTATCCTGCTATTTGTGTTTATTCTTTTAATCACACAGCGTTAAAAATAATCTTCAGAAACACTTTTTATATTCCATGGAATGCTCTTAACATCCCGATAGCAATGAATACATGAAATGCTTTGACAATAAATACATACAAAAATGTCATCTGTGGAAGCCGTGCGCTGTAAAAAGCACGACCAATTTCAAATTCTAGCGCACTCGAGCTGGTTTCTCCATTCTTACCTACCCTACCTTTAAGTACTGTACTGCTCAACTCCCATTCAGGCAAATAGTGTTTCGCTAAGCTGAACAGCCAATCAGAGTGATTTATTTTGCCAGCAGCGGAAGGTGTCGGCTTGGTGAGTAGGGCGACAGGACGCTCATCGACGGCCAGACATCTATCGACGGCCGAAATCGGCTTGGTGTGTCAAGGCCTTTAGACTACTACCACAAATACAATGAAGTACTTTTACTGTGTACTTTTTGAGTAATAGCCTACTCTGTCAAACTCTCCTCCTGAGTACAATCATTCATGTATTCTGTTATATTTATTGAGGGATAAAATGATTTTTTGCAATAAGTTCTACATGTAATTGATACTGTTGGACTCAGTAATACTCTCACAAGTACAATCAAGTACTTTTACTGTGTACCTTTTGAGTAATACTCGGTCAAACTCCTGTCCTGAATACAATAATTCATAGTTCATAGAGTAAAATACATGAATTATTGTACTCAGGACCGGAGTTTGGCCAAGTATTAATCAAAAAGTACACAGTAAAAGTACTTGAGGTAGTAGTCCAAGTAGTACTGAGTCCAACAGTATCAATTTTACTAAAAACTTAAGGCAAAAAATCCTTTTATCCCTCATCAAATATAGCAGAATACATGCATTATTGTAGTCAGGAGGGGAGTTTGACCGAGTATTACTGAAAAAATACACAGTAAAAGTACTAGGGATGGGAATTTGAAAGCAAATGTATATTCGAATATTCGACCCCCCAAAAAACGGTTAACCGGTTAACCGAAATGTACATATCCTATAAAAAAAAAAAATTGGGTAAAACATTTTTTTACAAACATTTTTTTCCATTAACTTTTGGAAATAAATAAATACATGTACAAATAAGTATAGAAACCAAGTCGAATTTGTCAAATGTATTGAACTGGTGATCACAGTTTGACAGCTATAGGCTTTCACAATCAGGCCAGCTGTAGAGAAGACCCTCAGCTGGAACGGAGGTTGCGGGTATAGCAAGGTATAGCATGTATATAAGTTTAATTTGGCATAGTTTGACCTCTACACCGCACTCACTAACCTGGTCGAAATATTTCCACACATTACTCCTTTTTGACGCCATGTCTGTTGTGTAGGACTCTTCTTAGAGTGTAAATAATTACTGGACTATGACTGGTAAAATATGTTGAATACTGGCAAAACTAAATCTCTCCTGTCAAAATGTTTATGTACTTTGCCGCCACACACGGTTGCCAAGCAGCGCTTATTGTTGTTTAGGCTGGCCACTCATGTGTCGCGAGTGTTGACAGGGGGCGGGGGGAGCACGCTCATGAACTGTTAGCGCCGGAACCTCGCAACGGCTACGGAGCGCATTTGCGCCGCATTTGGGCATAAGATGAGGTTTGAGTCTGCGTGATCTGCGTGTAGGGAGGGGCAGCAGCCATATCATTGGCTAGAACTAGCTAGATCTGATGGATTTGGACATAAACGCAGGTGAAGTATAACCGGATGCGAGAGAGAAAGATCAGCACCTGCAGCTCTGCCCGCTGTGAGGGACCGGTGAGCGGAGCAAAACACACCTTCAGACGTCACCTAACACATTTAGCTATGGCACTGTCGTATACATTGAATTATTCAATTTGATAATATGTAATCAACTTAGGCATCACTCCCAAAAAGTAAAAAAAATTATAAAAAAATTAACTCATATTCGAATACCTGAATAATTATTCGAATATTCGATTAATCGTTCCCATCCCTAAAAAGTACCTCATTTTATTTTTGGTAGCAAGTCAAGTCTAGGACTGAGTACAACAGTGTCAGTTTTATTAAGAACTTATGGTACAAATTATTTGTATCGCAAATAAACCAAAAAAACATGCATTCTTTTACTCTTGTACCAGCGTCAGCGATTACCGTAAAGGCGCGATTAATCACGCACTCAAAAATGAAGAGCTGCTGATTTGACCAAGCAAACGCGAGAGACGGCTGAGTTGACCGCAGTACCGGAATGGAATGGCCAGTGTTACACACGCCGGACATCTCCTTCATAAAACTAATAATAAGGCGTAATAATCGGGCAGTTCGATGTGTGTGTGTGTGGTGTTGGTTAAAACGAAGCAGCCTGCAGTTGCTCTTTAGCTGTTCTTATGAAGGTAAACACAGTGAAGGCACAGCTCCACTTCCTACTTGGCGAACCGGTAACTTTCTCGTGCGCACAAGAACGTATCTCTTGCGCACAAGAAAGTATATCGTGATGAGCAAAACTGTGTCACTTGGCCCAGGTGGTTTCCACAGAACGGACAAAACATGTTTAACGACCATAAACACACTCGTACCGTCCATAGGTACCGGCGGTCTATCCGCCAAAACAAACTTAAGTTTGTGTCAATCACTTGCACGTCACTTCTGGTATGATGGACATTCCCTCTCCGGTTTGATTCTCTAGTTTGTTAAAGTGTTTCGGCAAATGTTAAAGTGTTTAGAGACTTGTACATTTGTCTCAGTTCTTGTAAAAGTGTTTCGCTAATGTGATTTTGTTTTTATAAAATGTAATTTTGTCTCTAGCTTTGTAAAAGTGTTTCGCATCTTGTTAATGTTAAATTGTTTTTTCTTTGGTAAACGTGTTTTGCTAATGTAAATTAGTTTTATAAAATGTATATTTGTCTCAAGCTTTGTTAAAGTGTTTCACACTTTGTAATTCTCGGTTGCACTTCTCAGCCACCGTACTTTACAGTGACTATGCCTGTGTCAATTGTACAAAGGAAACCTCTCAAGTTTATAGTTCAATGTAGCCACATTTGACTTTTCTAACTTAAAAATGACAGCTACTTTGACTTAAATGCTTCAATATATCTCAAATCTAACAGTAGGAAAACAAATGATTATAAATATTGTGCAGAGATAGCTTTTTCTAAACAACATGTATTAACAGGGAAATATGTGGAAATAAGATTACAGAGGGCTAAACCTCGCTCCCAGCCTAACAAACACAGTGGGATTTTAAAGATTGACATAATCACAACATAAACCCAGTGTTTTGTAATGTCAAGTGTAAACAAATGTAAACGTGTTTTACCTTTGGTGCTCTTCCCTTCAGCCAGACTTTCAGATCTCTCTTTAGCTGCTGTGTTCAGGATCTCATTCACTGTGGAGGACAGAGAGAAACCTGATCACCAAGAGAACACTGACACATTTAATGCATTTAGTGTTGTGGTTGATCAAGTTTGGACTTCACATTTACTACATTCTTCAAATAGTAATTTTAACTCCACTTTTTTATGCTCATGCACATTAACACAAAAACCTTATAATCCAACTCTACCTCATTAGATACAAATATAAAAAGACAAACTTTGCACACGTAATGTATAATGTATAATTATCCTATGTTTATATTTGGGTTGGAGCAGTTTTGCATTATATTATTTTACTATAATATATCAAACTTGTATATTGTGTATCCTAGAGGTGCAGGTGCTCTTTAGATATGTCTTTGTAGTGTTCATATGTATATACACTATTAACTGTTTTAATCCTGTGCAATGCCTGAAAAGCTACACATGACCATTTTTTAAAATGTATGATAAAAAAAAAGACCATGGATCTATCTATGTATGCAAAACGCACTTTTTTTAAAGGGGACGTATTCTGCTCATTTTCAGGTTCATATTTGTATGTAGTGTCTACTGTGACATGTCTCCATGCTTCAATGTTCAAAAAGCTCTTTATTTTTCTCATACTGCCTGTCCTGCAGCACCTCTTTCACCCTCTGTCTGAAACCAGAGCCCAGTCTGATCTGATTGGTTAGTAATAATAATAATAATAATAATAATATGCAAACAAAAACCTATATAAACACATGACAGGAAAGGTGAAACCCCAACAAATATAATATAGCGTCTTCTGCCCATGTATTAAATAACTTAATAAAAGTCTCACCATCGACAGTGAACAGCGGGGTCGGGCCGGAGGCTTTGGCGCCGGATGTTGCCATGGTGACAGCGGAGGTGGAGTTGGAGTCCAAGAAAACAGGGCCGCCCATTGGGAGATCGAGGGGCGTGGCTCGAGAGACTGCACGGAAGATTCACAAATCAGCAGTGTGCTTTGTGCATGTATTTTTTGTGTGTGTGTGTTTGTGTTGTATGTACCTGCAGCTTGAGGACTGGGAGTTGGGGTTGCGCGAGATCCTGCTCTGGAGTCTCTGGGATTTAGGGGAAGTTCTGGAAGGAACGGAGACACTAGAGTAGGGAAACAGCAGGGAGAAACAACACACACACACACACACACACAACACACACACACACACACACACCACACACACACACACACACCACACACACACACACACCACACACACAACCCAACACACACAACACATCACACACACACACACACACACACCACACACACACACACACACACACACACACACACACACACACTACCAAACACACACACACACCACACACACCACACACACACACACACACAACACAAACACAACACACAACCACATCACACTAAACCCACACACACACACACACACACACCACACAACACCACACACACCACACACCACACACACACACACACAACACACACACACACACACACACACACACACACACACACACACACCCACACCATCACACACACACACACACACCTTGACTTCCAGGCTAGAGAACAGGAAGTGCTAAAATGCTGATTTATTTAAGGGTTTAAGGACTCATTACTGCACCACTCTATAAAGGAACTTTAATGGATAAAATGTGCTTCCTTTCAAGGTCAAGGTTCTTTATTTTGTCATACGAACATAGCTACAGTGTAGTTATGTAGCTAAGGCATGATGCGTTTTCTCAAAACTGGTATCTTTAAACCTCCATACCTCCGTTGACAGAAGAGCGGTGCGTTGTCACCGAGGGCCTGTGGGTGAGAGAGGGAGTTCGGGAGGGACGTGATTGGTGCAGGGAGGGCTGCCGGCCAGCGGGTGGGCTGCCCTGTGATTGGTGGGGAGAGTAGGAGTTTCTGACGGACAGCGGGCTGCTGCGGTCAGACGGGGGGTTTGGGGGAGGAGGCGCCGGCCGGGGGGTGTCTGGAGGAGGAAGGGGGGGCGGTGCGCCCAGAGGCCCCGGACCGGCCCATTCCGATCTCTCGAGGCCCGCTGAGGGAGGGGAATGTATTTACCTTCCCTGGGAAACAAGGCGGAGGGGAGAAGTGGTCAGATGAATTCTGGGAAGTTTTCTATCAGACATTTCTGTGGAGCAGAAAGTAAACGTTTAATTATTCTGTAACTCATTCTCTTGAATTCATTTTTGATTATCATCATTTTTGTTTTAGTCGCAATAAGACAACCCTAAAAATGTATATTCTCATCTTATCATGGTATATTTTTGTGTTTTGGCATTTGATTAAACTCGAGTCTGATGAATTTACAACTTAAACCGAGCTTCTTGCATAATATTTAGTTTATATTACAGGTTTTTGTTTTATTCTACGCTAAAGTGATAATGACTCACTGCAAATAAACAGAACAAAATCAATTCCACATCCAAGTCCAAGTCTATTCTAAGTGTGAAAAACTTTTTTTAAACACATTTGTGTTAGCCCTTAAAATCTGATAAAAAGCACAATTTACTTATTTTTACGACGTTTTATAACTCTGTGCTCTTCTGGCTATTTTTAAGATATGGACCACACAAGTCAACTATTACATCAAATGTATAAATTCAAAACTTATAAATCACGGTGACCGAAACAAATATGGAGAAGAGGTCGAGACAATACAATTTCAAAACTAGCTCCATCCCTCTTTTCATCTAAAGCAAATTCATGTTATGATGCTTCAATTGTATGACGAATCTGTCCTTCAATAATAACATATTAAAGATAATAAATAAACCAGTGTTACCTGCCGGTGGGGATGAAGCCGGGGCTCGCCCTCTCCTCCCTCTCCCTCACCACCGAGCTGTATTTGTCCTCCTCGCTGCGGCCCTCGTCGTTCTCCAGAGAAACGCGCCGGCGGTACTGCAGGCTGCCCTCGATCTCATTGGCCAGCCGAGCGGCTCGCGCTTCCCTCTGACGGAATCCCTCAGAGGTACCCTTCTCCAAAGGCATGCTGGGAAATAAAACAGATTTTCAGTTAAAAACTATTACTATTACTGTTATGTAGTGTTAATTTCGTTGACTAAATCTATGACGAAATATGTTCGTCAACGACCTTTTTTTCCATGACGAAAACGAGACGATGACGAGACGGCACCGACGGCAGTAAACAATAACTGTAACGAAATCATCATGCAATATCGTTGACGAAAAGGGACGAGACGAAAATGTAGTTCACTAAATAAAAACTATGCCAAAATCTCTCTTTACTTTCGTTGACGAAAAATGAGGAGACGAAATATTATCAAAGATAACGTTACATCTCTGATAGTCAGTTTTTCTCCCAGCAGTTCCATTTCCGGTGCTGCGGCAGGGCAGCAGCTGTGTGTCTGTGCTGCGCGCGGCGGTAGATTTGAATTACACCGGGCAGCGGCACAATATGAACTGTCAGGAAGACTCGGGTCTAACTCATGGTCTAACTAACCTTATTTAACAGAAAATGAAATGGCAACAGGGCTTGGGAGCAGTGGTCGCACTCGCGTTAACCGAATACCCCCCGTCAGCGCGAGTGAGTGATAAATTGTGCACTCGACGGATAATAATGGATAATGACGGAAATGTTACGATCCGTCAAAATGACTGACAACGAAAAAGTCTAAAGCCACCACTGCTTGGGAGAAAGAAACGATGTGATATTTGGGCCCATTTTCGCTTCAATGAGGTGGAGAAAAAAAGCGAATGCATTGTTTTATCAGAAGGGAAGCAATGTGGCCATAACACAGCTGGTGAAAACACCACAAACCTGACCAGATACTCTCTGCAAAGCTTCTTAATCATTCAACCTGTGTTTTTCATCAAATAAGGACAAGATATAATCTTATTTATTTATATATACTAAAATGACAAATTATTGGTTTTGGCTAGTTTGACTGAAATGTTCTATATAATCTGATGACTAAAAAATACTCAACAGTTTTTATTGACAAAAGTAGACTAAAATAATTAGTTTTCTTTGACTAAAATATGACTAAAATGCTCAGACTTTTAGTCGACTAAATCTTGACTAAAATGTTTACTGTTTTAGTCGACTAAAATAAGACTAAAATGCTCAGACTTTTAGTCGACTAAAACTTGACTAAATAAAAACAGGATGAAGGTGACTAAATATGACTAAAACTAAAAAGGAAATTTAACACAGGACTAAGACTAAAACTAAATTAAAAAATAGCTGACGAAATTAACACTACTGTTATGAACAGGTTTAGACTGAAGGACAAGGTCGTTTGACATGCCATCAGGAGATTCATTCAATTAGAATTACAGTTAAAATGACTCCTAACCTGTTTTGCTACAATTTGCCTTGGACTTTGATAAACTACGATGGACCACTTTCAATCATTTCTGAGATTTTATAGACCAAACGATTAATTGACTCATTAAAAATGGTCACATTAACCAACATTTAAAAATATTGTTAGTTGCAGCCCTTCTAGTTGTAGTACAATTATCATATTATTATACTTTCATATAAGGGATAGATGTTGACAGTAAAATATAATCAAAATCAATGCTTTAAAGGTGGGGTAGGTAAGTTTGAGAAACCGGCTCGAGATACACTTTTTGTTATATTCCATGGAATGCTCTTAACATCCCGATAGCAATGAATATCTTAAGTGCTTTGACAAAAAATCCATACAAAAATGTCATCTGTGGAAGCTGCCTGTAATACTGTAAAAAGTACAACCAATCCGTTTAGCTGGCCCGGCTGAACGGATTGGATTGCCGCCTTGTCTGTCAGCCTTCCATCTCGTGCACGCACAAATGTATCTCGTGCCCTCATTGGGCATGCAGTCATTGGCGTGCATTGCAGCAGTACTTCAATGACTCGCCAGCAACAGGCGGCCACTCTCACCAGTCTGCTGACGTCATGTGCGCGTTCATGTGTGTTGGAGGAGGTGCTCTGTAAGGAAGTCTGAAGGAAGGGGCGGATTCTTTTCGGCTGTGTACTTTCAAATTTTAGTGCACTCGAGACGGTTTCTGAAACTTACCTACCCCACCTTTAACTGACAAAACAGATTAGAACCATCATTCATATCTGTTATGATAATATTTTAATCGTAAAATCAAGTTTCATATTGAAATAAGTGGGATAGATATGATACAATAATAACCTATGCTCCTGTTTAAAACTCTCTCACCAACATATCATCATAACTGATAGGAAAGAGAGTAAACTATTACAGATAATAAACCCGGGATGAAACGTCAGGGTTTGCTTATAGTCCCGCTGAATAGTCACTTTGCCTGGAGGAGTAAAACTGACTCACGTATACATGGAGAGGCTGGAGTCGTAAGTGGACTTGACGCCGTACGTCTCCTCGTTAAACTTGAACATCTCGTTGGCGTCCCAGCCGTTAGACTGAGGAAGAAAAACACATGAAAGTGAGACATTGGAAGCAGTTCCCTTGATGCGACCATATCTCTACTGGACACAGTGGAGGCTAGTTCAACACATATGTCACGGATTTTTCTGTTATCAGCCGGCCAAACATTCAAAGACTGAAAAAAGGCCGCTGCTTGCCATATCACATTTACACTCAACTTGGCGACCTTCTCTTTATGTTGGTCCTTTATTTCTAAACTAGCGGCACGTTGAGTGACTTATTTAAACAAATATTACGTATTCAAATAAATTATAATGTAATTAATTCCTAAGCATGCTGATCAGAGTAATCTCAGTGATTTTGTATAAATAAAGAGATATATAGATACATTGTTTCAGATAGGTAATAAAGTGATGCATCTCTAGCAGCCACTTAAATGTGTATTACACTTCCTTTCATGTGAATATGTTAGTGATTGAGATCTCACCGCGTCTGCTTCCAGCTCAAAGTTTTCTCCGTTTCCGTTTCCATCCCACCTCTGCAGGACCTTCTCCCGGTGGTCCCCGTTCACTCGGGTTGCGCTGATAGACGTGTCAGTGAACGTGTCTAGACACACAAATGAGTCAACAATTACAACTCTCATAGACACTGTTATGCTGCCACCTCGAATGAACCTCACAAAAATATTTGTATAGCTTTAGACCACTTAGCTTGTCTTCACCACAATTTGGTTTACGTAACCTGATTTATTCTTAAAGTTTACAGCCATGCGGATGTTTTGAGTTAAGAGCATTATGGAGCAACCTGGATCTGAACTATAAATGTTGTTTTTTTTAACATGTTTGTTATTTTTTTTACTTTAAGTTGTATTCACCTCTGTAAGAGAGATGCCACATCAGTTGTGATTAGACGTAGAGTAACCAGACAAACTGGTTATAACATAAAAAATGTGACATCTTTAAAGAATTTAAAGGCTTACATAAACGTTTAAATGTTAACCTACAAGAAGAAAAGTTTTACAGTATTACACACCACAAATATAATTCCTCTTGTTTTTTTTACCTCTGACAGCAAAGTTTAGGTCGACATCGCGGCAGGTCATGGTCACCAGGTCGGCGGGGCTAAAGATCATGGTGTCTGTGATATCTTCGATCTTGGGTTGAGAGGACTGGCTTCCTCCTCCTTCCTCGCCTCCTCCTCCTCCATCACCATTGCTCTGTTTATGGACAGCATCCACAGCCAGTTCACACTGAAGATGGACAGAAGAGTACACACTGATAAATCACGTAACTTGGATACAGAGAAAGTGAGGTGTTAGGAGGCTTCTTCTTTTTTTTTTACCTGTGAGCTTAAAGTCTTAAAGACTCCCTCGTAGGCTGCGCCGTTTTTCACTCTCACATCACAGGTGGAGCCCTGAAAATCAGACCTGTTAGTGCCTTTGTATGTGGTGCTTTTAATAAAAAAACTGTTCCAATTACAACTTCAGACAGACAAAACAGCTTACCACCACTGCTGTGAGGAAATGGAGCATTCTGGCATTGTTGTAGACGCCATCAAATACCTGCAGATATACAGCTGACATGAGTGTGTTGCATTGGTTAAACTGCCTCAACAGAAATCTGAGGCATTAATAGGTATGTTTATAGGAACAATACTAACTTTTATAAATATATTCATGCCAATATTTGCACTATAGTATATTATTTTTTCTAATGTCTCTCTCAACAAAAAGAAAATGTTTCATACATTTTTGTGTAGAGAAAAAACAAACAAAATGTTACCAATTGACGGAAAATACATTTAAAGTCTTTGTTAGTGATGAATTAAGTTATTTTAAATACCTTCTTGAAAATGTGAAACTATTTAATATGTTGCCAGGTTTTATTATCCCTCCCTGGCCATATTACATGTATTTTTTTACTTTATTTTATCCTTTATCATTTGTATGATTCTTCTGTTGTTTGTATTTCATTTTATTGTTGATTTATTCAATTTCTTCAACATTTATTTTAAGACTCTGGTAAAAAAATACATTTAAAATTCCCATAAAAGTAGGGAACATGCAGGCCACCCCGGGCCCCCTAGTTTTGGGCTGGGCCATGAATGCTAGCTCCGCCCCTGGTTCTAACAAGTACATTTTCTGAATAGAAACGCTCGGCTGTCACTACTTACTAAACTGCTTACAGGAGGTGACTGTGATGGAGGTTTCATTGTGTTCCTGGTCCTGCAGAATGGAACAAAAATAAAAACAAACATCAGCTTGCAGCTCAAATCTGCTCCTTCAGTGAGAACAATAACACAAGCCTCTAACAGGCAACACAGCAACCTTTCTAGCTAGCAGGGCGAGCAATTTAAACAATGACATGGCATAATTAGGTATAATTAAATCGGCTAATATAATCTAAACTGTTTGTCTTAAAGGAAACATAGTTAAATATGATGGTGTTGTTGTATCAAATAGCAAAATTCGGCTAGCTAAATCAGCTAATGGAGCTAGCTTGGCGTAGACGTCGAATGTTACAACAGAGACACAAACGAACCGCTAGAAACGACGTCGGCATCACATTAGAAACTGACAGCTGAGCAATTCTTTACTATTTAAATATACTTTTTAGTCATGTGCATCCCTGATAATCCAGTCTCGTCGTTTCCAGCAAAAGTCACACGGTTAGTTTGACAGGCCAACACGATACAACCCGCTGGAAAACAACAAAACACGGCCAGCGGGTGCATTAGGTTTGTCCGGACCCGGGTGACTGCTGTCCATGTGATGAGGGTCGAATCAAGCTTCCGGGCAGGTTCCAGGAAATAGTCAAATCAACACAGGTAGTTTGATTCAATAAAAACACTCCATTGTGTTTAAAAGTGACCGTTTTTCAACCATGAAAGAACTCCCGGAGAGTGAATTTCACCATCTATGAATGTACGCCCAAGAACCGGGCTCAGCCGAGGTGCTGTAACGAACGCACCAATCGTAAACCCCACCTACTCGTTTTAATCCAAAACCTGATTGGACAAAACCTTCTGTCAATACTTTGACCTTTTTTAATTATTGGTTGGTTTTCATGTCAATCATTTTTCACGACGGGCCGTAATGATTGAGGTCATGTAAGGAAACTGATGCTGCAGGATGTTTTTAATTGGTTTCAGTAAAGAAAAGTTAAATGAACACATATTTTAATATAATAGGGATTAAAGTAAGTGTTATCCCCATAATAAGTAATACAATAATAGTACAAGAATATTTTCCAAATGAATAGTCCAAAGGAAACATTTAAGAAAATAACCATATCTATAATATACAAAAAAGCGGTTTTAGTAGGCCTACATCATATTTAACCATATATAACATCTTAATAAACTGACATTATTGACCTTGGAAACAGGTCACGTTCCTGTTCCCTTGAAACAAGAAATTGCGTGTGCTATGCTGTTATATAAAATGTGTCATTTCAATTGATGAAGACTGTGTAAATTGGTTGAAAGCCTTTTTTTTTTAGTTTATCACCATTTGTAATATTTAATACACTATTGGAGGCACTTTATGTTGATTTCCAACACAATGCAGCAGGAACCATATTTGTTTAACACTGCAGGATAAAGAAATTCATTAAAAAAATAATTGCTGCATAACACTGCTTGTGCGTATGAAGAATAATATATGACATAAAATCCACATATCCCTATACAGCTTCTATGTGTTCCAGTAACCTGATGCCTTTTATACAGTAACAAAAACATGAAATACTCACTTGGGGGTCCAGGGACAAAATCCTGCATCTTGGATCCAGTTTACACATAAACTCAGAAAAACGTATAACACTGATATACACCTAATATCAATTTATTCTGGGGCCAAAACTATTTGAAATGAAAAGTAACACATTTAGTCCAAAATTATAAAGTTTGTATCTCCTGTAGAGAAAGAAAAATGGCGGATAAATAACAATTTAAGTTTCAAATGTCTGTCGGTATATTTTATAACTCCATTGTCATAAAAACTCTTAACAAAATCCTTTTTTTAAATACATTTGTTCTATTTGATTTATTCAACTGAAAAGCTTTAAAACGGGTGTTTTTTCCACATTTGTCATACTAGTATAAAGTGATGACGCCTTAATGGGGCGCTGAGAAAATGCAGATACATGTAAATAAGCAAACTATGATGGTGTTAGAGGTTAAATAGATGTGTAGTTTTTGTGGTTGTACAAATGTTATAATATTTGTGCGGTTAGTTATTTGAGGTGCAAGCCTCCTTTTTTTGTGCCGCAGTCGGAAGAGCCAACAAATATGCACTGAAGCAGAACATTCTGTCAGATCAAAATATGTTGTGCATTTTGGAAATTATTAAATATTTATTTTTCAACAAATGTTGACTTTTGGACTTTAAAACGCTTTGGGGTTATTGGAGAGGTCTGAAACTATTATTTGCAGCCACCACTGTAATTTAACTAATAGCATAATACTAATAAAAGTGTAGCTCGTCTTTGTCTGACAGTTTTTACAGTTTGCTAAAACTAAAAATGATAATAAATGATTGTAATGAGTGTAAATGATTTACTAGAAATAGCATTTAAAAAGGTGACAGGAAGAAAAGAAAGACCACACCAACTTCTATGTTTCACTATATTTATATTATGTCATTAAATTCAATGTAGTACCTGAAACTAACCACACAGGGAGGACAGACGACGCTGCCCGCCCTCAACACACGGTCCCAGCAAAGAGAGAAAAGAGACAGAGAAAGGCACAAAGAGTTTTGAAACTGAGAAAAGGACACTAAACATGATGATTAAGGTGGGGAAGGGGAGGGCACGGGGAGGGGTAAAGGTGCATAGACAAATACATGAGCAAAAAAAAAAAGACCGGTAGAAATGACTGGGTGGTTTATGTGGTGGATAAAGAAACGGGCAAAGCTCTAAACTGAACGATGAAGACAGAGCGACACGAACGCAGGCCGATGACGACAGACACAGAAAGGCACAAGTAGAAAAAGTAGGTATTCTCATTGAAATGTTTCTTCTAATTGTATTTTTTTTTCTTTACCCTTGATGAATAGAGAATGAGGTTGAGGAGGAGAGGACAGCATGAAAAGAGAGTAGCCTTGAGAATGAGGAATTCATAGCAAATCTTATATATACTTTTTTCCTTCTTTTTATCCCAAAAATTAAAAAAAGGCACAAACACAGTCTCAATTACAAGATGGAGTCGGAACAAGTGTTACACGGAGTAAGCATACAAAATAAAAATAAAAAGGTGTCTTAAAAACAAATACAATTAATACTATTATTCGGACCGTTATTATTATCATCATTATTATTATTTCCATCAATAATTATTGTTATTGGTATTATCAATAGTTTCTCTTTAGCGTCAGAGAGAAAAGCGAGAGAGAGAAAGAGAGAGAGACATTAACTGAGCAGCTGAGTGTGACTGAGGTAAAGGTGTCCTGCCTGCTCCCGTTTATGTGCCACTTAGACCCAAAACATTACATTACTCTGCTGTGTAACGCCAAACTCCATTGAACATTTTTCCATTTCAGGACGCCTTGTGTGAGGTGGCGTATCAGGGCCACCGCTAAAATAATGAATACAGTGCAGGGCGAGGGGCGTAATATTCAGAGGAAAAAAACTGGGAAATATTCAATAAAATATCAATACAAATTAAAGTGGTTAAACTACAATACGTGAATATTCTTTGTAAAACATATCTGAGAAAAAAAATATTTTGGGGAGATTAAAATGGTACATTGTCTTTTCTCAGGAACAAATTTGTTTTGTTTTCTCATAAATTGACAACATTTATCTCTGGTAATATCAAAGTTATTTCTCTCGTACATTTTGGAATTTAATCTATGAGTTTTTTCTCTGAATATTGAACCCCTCTCCCCATTTTTTTATTTATGGTACAATGGCCCTAATAAGCCACCATACAGATATGTTGTTTGATGAACTTCTATATGTATATATTTTTTTTTCTGCTCATTCTTTTTGTTTCACTAATATAGACAAAAATGGGCAAAATGGATGCTACCAACAATTCCCCCTGGTTTTGAAAAGTGACTAGCTTGTTTTTATTATACAATTGTTAAAGTGTGTAGTATATAAACTACTAGTCATATACTAACTTATTCTCTTTTTTTATTGAACAAATATATGTAATTAAATGTACCATAATGAAAAAATAAAACAAGCAAGCTGTCAAATGTTAGCTTGAACCAAGGAAATGTTCTTTGCTTGATATATGGAAACATATTGAAACCACCATTAGTGTTATTATTAATATTACAATACATTCAATTATATATTATATTATTTATTAAGATTTCACATTGGTTTGATCTTGTAGCTATTCCAATCAGCCATGAGCGTACCAAGTGTTCATGCTAATATATTTCTTTAAAAGTTAAAGGTGGGGTATGTCATTTTGGAGAAACCAGCTCGAGTGCGCTAGAATTTGAAAATACACAACCGGAGAAAATCTGCCACTTCCTCACAGAGCCCCTCCTCCAACACACGAACGCGCACATGACCAATGAGGGCACGAGATAAGTTTGTGCACAGATGGAAGGCTGACAGGCAGGTAGGCCATCCAGTTACTTTAGCTGGGCCGGCTCAGATGATTGGTCGTGCTTTTTACAGAACCACGGCTTCCACAGATGATGTTTTTGTATGGATTTTTTGTCAAAGCACTTAAGATATTCATTGCTATCGGGATGTTAAGAGCATTCCATGGAATATAACAACAAGTGTATCTCGAGCCGGTTTCTCAAACTTACCTACCCCACCTTTAACTTCTTTATTTTTCCAATTTTACAGAATACAATTGTGACAACCATTTTTGAAATTAGTCCAGTATTCAGCGCTTCAGTATTTGGGCTGCAGAGATTAATGCATTATTTGTTAACTATTCAAAGTATTTCCATAATCGATTAATCGGTCTGAATAATTTTTTGGTAATAAAAAAAACTTTTAAATTCTCTGATTCCAGTTTTGTAAATATAAATATATTCTAGTTTCTCTATGAAAGTAAATGGAAAATGTTTGAGTTGTGGACAAAACGAGACATTTGATCGACATTTTCCCCATTTTTCTGACAGTCGAAACAATTGATTAAACATTATAATCTACAGTTTAATCCACAATGAAAATAATTTAGTTTTGAAAAAGTTGGCTCAGATTGTTATACGTTTCTGACAACATTATGGAAAGTATCCTACGGAGGAAAGTGTCTTTCTTTACCTTTACAGTTATCACGTTATTGTGTCCTGTGACTTGTAGAAATAGAGTGTAATCTAAGAAATACTTAGCTGGATGCAACATGAGATTTCAGAAAGTGACCCCTCCTTGAGTGAGACTTTGTTAGACACAACAGAGTGCATCAAGGGGGAAATGTAAAGAAAGACATATTACTCTACAGACTGCTTCTATATTGTTGTCAGATGTTTAAAATAACAACCTGAGCCTGAGTCAGTGTCAACTCAAACTTTAAGTGGTAGACATTGATGGTGCAGAATCGCCTGATAGGATAATGCAGTAGGACTGCAACTAACACTAATCATCTTTGTCGATTAAGTTGACGATTAGGTGAAAATAGTGAAAGATGATAAATGTCTCGTTTTGTCCACAACTCAAGGATATTCAGTTACAGTCTTTATTGGAGCAAAGAAACAAAAAGGTATTTAAATTTAGGAAGATGGAATCATAACATTTGGACTTTTTTCTCCTTCTCAAACTGACAAATCGATTATCACAACAGTTGACGATTCATTTAATATTTGACTGATAGATTAACCCTTGCAGCTCTACCCATAACGCTCAAAAGTCAACTAATGTCATGACTGTTGCCTCCATCAGTCGCAAAAACATGTGACCACAGAGTCCGGATTGAAAAATACCAAAGACGCTACATTCAGAAGCTTTAAATCTGTATAATCTTTAAAAGGAGCCTGCTGTGTACCAGTAAGTAGAGTTTTGGGTCTACCTGTCACAGTGCAGATGTGTATGAGTGTGTGTTTGGCCTCTGGTTTGACTTGGCAGGACCGACGTGAGGTATCAGGTCTGCTGGCTCCACAGCGAGAGAGAGCCCGCTGCGATTCGTACCAGCAAAAATCAAAGCTTATTAGACTACAAAAAAATAAAAACAAGTGTACCGCTAGTTAGTGTCGTAAAGCTGCTTCCGCCTGTCTCTCCCATCTGCTTTGTCTCCTCTCTCTCTCGTTTAGTGTTAGTACTTTTACCTCCTTCTCCTTCTCCTCCGTTTCGCCTCCAACCTTGCTAACAAAATAAAAATACTGGTTATGAATGGCTATGATTTACGCCGCCTCATCCAATCTCACGCTCGCTCACACACAAACACAAACGCACATACACACTCCTCCTCCTCCCGCTCTTGCTCTTCCCTTCATCAGAAGAAGGAGTACTGGTTGTCGACGGCTCGGGGCGCCCTCGCTCCGTCGCGCTCCTCCCCCTCCCCGGCTTCCAGCTGGCGGAGAGGAGTGTCCCGCTCCTCCCAGTCCTCCACTCCTCCCCCACTTCCGCTGACTCCACTTCCGCCGCCACTTCCTCCTGCTGTCGTCGCCACGGCCGGCGCCCCCCCTCCTCCTCCTACTCCTCCTCCTCCTCCTGCTGCACTTCCTCCCGCCGCCATTGGCTCCGCCTCGTCAGCTCTCTCCTGAGGGGGAGTCGGGGGTGGCGGGCGGCCTGGGGGCAGAGGAGGAGGCAGCGGGGGGCTACGGGGTCTGCTGGTCAAGTCTGCATGGAGAGGAATTAGACGAGAGAAAAAGAGAAAAAAAAACAAAGAGGGGTGAAATGAGAGAAAAGTGTAAATAAAGGAGGAGACAGGAGGCAGGAGGAAGAGGAGGAAATAAGGACAAAAGTGACAGCGTAGTCGGAGGAGAGGAGGGCGGGAGAGAAGAGAGAAAGTGACAGTGAGTGAATGTTAGGTGGAGAGGTCTGCAGTCATGGAGTCATGGAGCCAGTCAATTTCAAGGAGCACACACACACTCACAATCACGCACACAATTTATTAAGTGGTGGGCAATGTACGTTAGCCCTGAGAGAAAACTAAAATATCTTCTGATGCGTTTTTTAAGTCTGATCGAAATGATTAAATAAGTTAGTTTTTGTATGTCTGTGAAGCATGATCCTTTAGCTGTGAAAAACAATAACACTTGGAGCTGCACATTTCTTCTCAGAATCTATTGTTGTTGTAATGCTCATAGAGGCCAGAAGAGGCCTACCTGCACCACTACCCCATGTTCAAAGTATTATATTAAAAGCTATCATGTTTTTTCCACGTACGTATTAATTTTTTCATGCGCCTTAAACAAATGGAACATGTCCATCTCCATGTTTGATATCATGGTTGTCATATTAGACTTACAAGCATTATAACAAACACTTGGTTATTGTCGTATTCAATTTATCTGCTGATTATTTGATCGACTCATTGTTCGATAAATAAATATATAAAGTGAATAATATTCGTAATAATAATAATTTGCGATTAAGTTACCTGTAAACTACAAAACTAAATTGACTACATTTAGCAAGGGGTTACTGTAGTATGTGTGAACAAGAGTCTAAAATACACTAAAAAGTGACGTTTTACAGAATACTTGTAGACTAGGCAAAACATATTTTATCTTCCAGTCTGTCAAAAGTGTAAATCTGAATGTGAGTCGCCAAATTCAGATTTATTTGTGTTGAAATCAAAGGTTACAAACCTGTTTTGAGAGAAATATGTCCGTTCTAACAAAGCACATCAAATATGTCCCCACTCACTCCCAAACACCCCCCACTCTCGCACTCTCTAAGTTTCTCTCAGCTGAGTCTGGACTCACTTACACACAGTCAGAGATGGGGGTTGATGGAGAGTCAGGATGGCGCGTGGTGATGACATCACAGACTGTAGGCCGACTGCCTGCCCTGTCGCGGCCTGCAAAGGGACGAGCCAATGGATACACACAACATCAGAGAGGCGAGACAACACATGGGCAGAGGGAGACGCTGCAGGGGAATAATCCTGCATTCTACTTGCACCACTTTTATTGCACTCTTTGTTCTTTTAGCTTTTTACCTGCAATGAAGGATGAAAATATAATATAATAATATATAATGTAATCCAGTTTCAATGTTGAAACAAAATCATAGAAATGTAAGTATGAGTAGTGACATCACTATGTAACACTTGCGCTTCTATTGGCTCGCGCTCCAACACATTGTAAGTGTTAGGTTAAGGGGCGGGATCTCTTTAAGCAGTCGACCAATCACAACCGAGCCGGGCAGCTAACCAATCAGAGCAGACTGGGCTCTGGTTTCAGACAGAGGGTGAAAAGAAGTGCTACAGCACAGGACGTATAAGAAAAACAAAGCTTTTTGAACATTAAAGCATGGAGACATGTAGCAGGAGAGACACTACATACTGATATGAACGTGAAAGTGAATCAGACACTAATGGTGCAGCACAGTCTTCTGTCCCTGTCAGGTATTTTGAAGAGGGAACACAACTCGGTTTGCACACTGGTTTAGACCTGAGTAAAGCCCGACTTGACTACACACACACAACATATCAGAATTTAAAATGACTAGAAATATAGTTTAATGAGTTCAATTATTATTTCAGCTATATTTGTTCCATAAGCTTGTTTTTAGCTGAGTGTTTTTCTATAATCCTGTGTGCGAGCTCCCGGAGTTCAATTCCTTGTTTGTGTTTATTATTCTTGTAGAATACGTTTTATTCCATGAACCGATAAATAAAGAGGCAGGGTCGGGGGGGACGGTACCTGGCTGGCGAACAGCGGTGGCCCCTACGAAGCTGATGAGTGTGACGTCCGAGGCTCCGCCGGACTCCAGGGGGATGGGGTGCACACGGAAGTGCTCCAACATGTCGAAGATGGACTGGAACCAGAGGTGCTGCACACGGCACTGACCGTCCTCGTTCAGGGACAGACGCAGGTGCTGCAGAGGGGACAGCAAGTCAAACTCAAGGTTTACCAATACATTTTTGTTGACTATATTAAATTGGAAGAAATTAAATTGTGCAGATCATTCTGCTAACAGCTTCTGCAAAGTGAATTTCTGTTGCTTTTTTATATTACTGTAAATTGAATATGGTAGTGTTGGTCAAACAAAACAAGATTTCTTAAGACAGGGTCTGAAAAAATGTATTCATTAATATATTTAAACTTGATTTCATATTTGAGAACTATTTGCAAAAGACAAAAGAAAAACAAAGAGATATATTAATAGAGAAGACGCAGTAGCATCAGAGATTTAAATGTAGTAACATGATTCATTTTGTATGAATAATAGTCTTATTATGAAGTCAGTGCTCAAAATGAAACTCACCTTGGCTTTGCCCTGGAAGTTAAAGGTGAGGACGTACTCTCCGCGCCGCGTCTCGCTCTGCCGCACCAGGAACACACCGTGGCTCGCCGGTCCTCCCGCCAACACCAGCTGAGCCGCTTTGAGGCGGGACAATGTGCCGTGGAACCACTGACACTCGCTGAGCGGGTGCTCCACCGCCTCCGCAGCGATCACATCCGAGAACAGGAAGGAGCCTGCAGGGTGGTGCATGTTGGGTATTCAAGTTTAAAAGATGGTCAAGTGGTGTTTGAAACAGATCAAATTAAACTGAACCATAACCAGGGCTGGGCAATAGGGAGATTATCAGAACCAGACATATTGTTACCTTGATATGTAGGGTCGACAGTGACATTTTTATAAATAGTAAATCATTTGAAAAGAATATCACAAGGAAAATACACTTATGCCATATCGAAATATACAACATCTAAGACGATATCTGGTCTCACATCACAATATCAATATAATACCGATATGTTTCCAAGCACAAACCCTAACTAATATTCTAAGGAGCTTTTCTTTATTTGAAAGCTAACCTATTAGCATGTAGCATGCATTATTGATCATGTCGTCTTTAACCTGACCATTACCACACCTCTGGTTCAATATCTGCAATTATTACTCGTCTTAGGACCGTATTCACCTGTGGCGTCTGGCGTCTCAGCGAAGGGTGTGCCCAGGCTGTTCCCGCTAAGAATCCGGCTGTCTGGTTCGTCGAGAGGTGCTCGGGGGGGCAGCTCCGGGGGGAGAGGGTCCATCAGAGGTGAGGAGCCTCCTATTCCTCCATAACAAACTGAGGACACAAACAAGCAGCAGAGAGTATAAACACACACATAAAGATGTAGAGGGATAGATAGATTCATCGAGGAACCATAAAATAAGTATTATACTACTTCGCCTGAAGTCTAGCAAAACCAACAGGAGCAAATACACATATTATATAACTCATATATCATTCAAAATACAATCATTTTATACTTTGTGCATTGTCTTTCATTTAAAAAGGACTATCATTTTCCTTGCAAAACTGCCAGCAATATATATATAATTTTTTTAAATATATTATCTTTGCAGCCAGTGGAGAATCCTGGAGTCCATGCTTCCAGCCAATAAATAATGTAATACGTCAAAACCAAGAGTTATTGCTTTTGAACCTAGTATTTATAAGATTAGACCAGGGGTGCCCAACCAGTCGATCGCGATCCCAGTCGATCGCGAGATGTGTCTATCCATCCATCCATCTATCTTCTCCCGCTTATCCGTGGTCGGGTCGCGGGGGTAGCAGTTCCAGCAGAGAGCCCCTCTTTTCCCTGGCCACATCAACCAGCTCTGACTGGGGGATCCCAAGGCGCTCCCAGGCCAGCGAAGAGATATAATCCCTCCACCTGGTCCTAGGTCTACCCCTCGGTCTCTTCCCAGCTGGACGTGCCTGGAACACCTCCCTAGGGAGGCGCCCAGGTGGCATCCTAACTAGGTGCCCGAACCACCTCAACTGGCTCCTTTCGACGCGAAGGAGGAGCGGCTCAACTCCGAGTCCCTCCCTGATGACCGAACTTCTCACCTTATCCCTAAGGGAGACACCAGCCACCCTGCGGAGAAAACCCATCTCGGCCGCTTGTATCCGCGATCTCGTTCTTTCGGTCATGACCCATCCTTCATGACCATAGGTGAGGGTAGGAACGAAAATGGCCCGGTAGACAGAGAGCTTTGCCTTCTGGCTCAGCTCCCTTTTCGTCACAACGGTGCAGTAAAGCGACTGCAGTACCGCTGCTCCGATTCTCCGGCCCATCTCACGCTCCATTGTTCCCTCACTCGAGAACAAGACCCCGAGATACTTGAACTCCTTCACTTGGGGTAAGGACTCATTCCCTACTTGGAGTGGACAGTCCATCGGTTTCCTGCTGAGAACCATGGCCTCAGATTTGGAGGTGCTGATCAGAGGTTGCGTTAACTGAATATTTTCCGTCTATGACGGATTTTTTTTAACAATGACGGACAAATCTGAAAGCAGTCCGTCATTTTGACAGATTAGAACAAACTCGGAACAGCGCCAAAGTTTCCCCGCAGCGAGGCTCCGGTGTTATGCCGTGTTATGCATGCCCTCCAAAAAGAAAATCATACCGTTTCCAAACCTAACTGTGCCGTACAAATCATTGAAATGTCTGCGAGTTTTGGCTTTACGCTGTGCACGCTCCCGCGAGGTGCAGCAGCCATGCATAACACGGCGCATGTGAACTGCCCCCCCCCCCCCCGTTGACAGTTCACGAGCATGCTTCCCCCCCCCCTTGTCAGAGTTGTGTAAAGGCCGACGGGTAATTCTGGATTTTGACAGAAGTTTTACGATCCTGTCCGTCAAAATGACGGGCAGTGAAAAAGTCTAGCGCAACCTCTGGTGCTGATCCTCATCCCAGCCGCTTCACACTCGGTTGCGAACCGATCCAGTGAGTGCTGAAGGTCGCAGACCGATGAAGCCATTAGAACCACATCATCTGCAAAAAGCAGTGGTGCAATCCTTAGTCCACCGAACTGCAGACCCCCTCCCCCACGACTACGCCTCGAAATCCGATCCATGTATGTGTCTAAAAATAGAACAACAATATTCTGTTTTATCGTTAATGTCCTATATAACATAATCTTCCTGTTCCAGAATAATGCACTTGAACGCACCAAAGCTCTGCGATTGGCGTGACCCCATGTGTCGGGCGTGGCTGGTGGGCAGCACTAGTTCGCTGACGTTGTCCGTGGCAACAGGAGTGACAGTCCGCACACACACAAGACCGCAATTATGGCAGAAGCAAAAAAGCCCAACATAGGCCTATATAATTTTCACTCCGAGTGGGAGGATGATTATTTTTGTATCTATTCCAATTCAAAGTCCATCTGTCTCATCTGCAATGCGAGCGTGGCTTTATCGAAGAAGGGTCATTTAGGAGCGGCATTTCAAAACAGTGCACAAACGCTACGAGACGGAATTCCCTCCTAATTCTGCCCTACGCTCCAAAAGGGGAGGGGCCTGAAAGGACTGCTAAATGCACAGCAGTCCATTTTCACCAGGCCCAACAACAAGAGCAAGGCTGCTACCAGAGCATCTTATCGTGTCAGTCACGTTCTTGCGAAACAAATGAAGTCTTTCGAAGATGGCGAAGTTGTGAAAGAAGCATTCCTGGAGGAGCTTTTGGGGGACAGTAAAAATAACAGCAGCATTTCAACAGGTTTTTGATATAATAAAAACTCAAGTTAGATACCGTTATTAATCAGCTGTAAGTTTGAGTTTGTTTGAACTTATTCATTATAATTATTGTACAAAATGGTATAAGAATGCAAACTTAAATTGATTATAGTCCATTATCAATTCAGGTTAAGAAGTTAGTGTTGCTCGCATCCTATTTTAAAGGCATTTCTTTTTATACTAAAATGCAACAAAAAAGGGTTTGATTCTATTAATTTGGTCTTTCTTATTGCACTTTGGCAGCAGATTCCTGTGTAGCTTCAGATCTGAGTTGTCTTATTAGTAAGCCTAATTTATACTTTTGTAGCAACACTATTTTTATATAATGGCAAAGAAAGGGTTCAGTGTCTTTTCTTTTTTCCCTGTGTCATATGTGGCAGCACTGTTCAATGTTTCTTGAAAACATTACCCACTGTAGTGACGTGTGAATAAACTCCAACTCTGTATCAACAACACTGTTGTGTAACTTCAGTTAAATACTTCTATGTGTTTAGATTAGAAAGAGGTAAGATAAAGGATCTGCAGTATTTTATGAAGTATTAATCGTACAAAGGTCAGTTTTATACAAGTAGAAGTGTGTATTTACCTGGTAGTAATGGCTACGCCTCTCTATTTGGACTGGTAGATCTCGGCAGACTGGCAACTTTAAAAGTAGCTCTCGGTTCAAAAAAGGTTGGGCACCCCTGGATTAGACCATATAACCCAAGTGAATCGGTCAGCTTTAGAGGTGCTTGTAGATGGAAAACCTTTGGACAGGACCAGGCTTTCCTGCCTTTATACTAAGCTAAGCAGCTATTGGCTTTAGCTTTTCAATTCAGCGTACAGACATAAAAACAAATGAATCTGAACCAACTAACTTGTTGCTTACTTTGGCGCATTAACAGCTAATTATATATATGCAGGGCTTTTTCTAGCAAAATATAGTATGAGGGAAATACTTTGGCGCTGATCTTGTATATAAGATATATCAATTCTCGCGAGAACATGACGCCCATATACAAGATGGTGCCGCAGACGTAAACAACAACGCAGCGTCGGAGCTCAACAAACAAAGCTGTCTATGCCGTCTGATGGCAGATTTTCCAGGTAAACAATTCATTTTGGTAAGAGGGCGCAGCGTCCCTGTTATCCAGTTGAGACAAAACCCTGAATATGCATCTACAAACTAATAATATGAATACAAAAAGTTTAGAATGTATTGGCAGAAAATACACCCAAAAATGATCAATAAGTAACACATAAGCTATAGCTCAAAAATCAACTCCTGGTTGAAATATCATCATTGTGATTTAAAAAGTGAGAGCAGCGCATGATCTTGCAAAGTTATTGGCTAAGCCTAGCTGTGTATATACTGAGTGTATCCTCTGAGACGATGCTTAACACACACACACACGGAAACCTTTAGACGTACCTTGTGAGAGACGGTCGGCAATATCAGGCATCCCACTGATGTCCAGCGGCCCAACACTCACACCTTCGGCATCCTCCTGTTCACTGTGGGAGGCAGACAGTTCAATCATGTTGTCCGTACCTTACTTTGAGGTGACCTTGTTCTTTCATAATGTCATTACCTGAGACAGATGCCGTTCCTGATGTCACTGAGCCAGGCTCTCATCTGCACAGCGTCGCGAGTCTCAATCACGTACTGCGCCGTGCCCTCCAGCTGAGAGGTGCAACATAAAGAGATGTATTCATATGTGGGCCAGAATCACTTACAGAGTGAATATTACAAAACTGTTGATTATTATACTGTACAGTGTGTAGCTATTGTTCATATGACAATAAAGCCTCTGAATTGAATCCTGAGAAGATATCTTTTTAACTTCAGCTCCTTACCAATATTTACTCTTTTCTAGTGGTGTATTTGTTTAATTGTCCTTTACACAGCAAAGCTTTCAGAGATTCAGGAACATATAATAATATCAGCAAGTCATAGCAAAGAATAGTAAAGAAAAACTGCTTGCAAAAACCACAAACAAATTACAATACAAAGCATTTCAAAACACAAAGTGAAGCTGTATAAAGACAGTGGTCACCTGCAGCAGGAAGGTGTTCTCCTTGTCGGGGACCTCCAGCGCCGTGGTGCTCCTCACATCCACCATGGAGCAGCAGGGGACGGTCAGCCGGGGCTTCGTCGACTGGGGGGACAAACCAGCAACATTGAAATCAATACATTTGAGTTGAGTACAAAAGTGTAACATAAATATTATCTTTGTGACCAGTGGAGACTCCTGAAGTCACTGCTCCCAGGCAAGAAATAATCAACCCTGTCAAACCTACACTTGTTGTTTTTGAACTTAGATTAGACAAACTTTAAAAGTGCTCTTAGATGGATTACCTTTGGATAGAGCCAGGCTTGTTTCTTCATGTCTGTATGCTAAGCTAAGCTAAGCGGCTGCTGTCAGGGCTTTTAAATTGACTGTACAAACATGGGAGAGGAATCAATCTGCACATCTAACTCACAGCAGTAAGAGGATTACCAACGTTGTCCCTACCCCATTTTAAAGAACTTGTCAACTAGTGTAGAACCATTAATTGAATTATTTATTTTTCTCTGGCTTGCAATATGGACTAGTGCAATAAATCACATGCAAGAGTATATAACATGCGAGAGTATACAGTGCCGTGCAAAAGTATTCACCCCCCTTGCCATTTTTCCTATTTTCTTGCATTAAAACCAAAAATAATATAATATTTTTGGGGGGATTTTATGGCAAGACCCCCACACAAAGTGAAAGAAAGAGCATGTTTTAAAACATTAAAAAAAATGAAAAACTGAAAAGTGGTGTGTGCATATGTATTCACCCCCGTTGCTATTTAGCCCAACATTATTTAAATAAGGTTCACCTATGTGCAATCAAGTGCCTCATTATCTCTGTATATATATACACCTGTTGTAGAAGGCCTCCGTCTTCCATACCACAGCAAGTGGCATTTCTAAGCAAGAAAACTGCACCATGAAGACTAAGGAGCTCTCCAAACAGGTCAAAAAAATCTCACAAACTTTGAACATCCCACGAAGCACCATTAAATCCATTATTTTAAAATGGAAAAAAAATGCCACGACAAAAAACCTGCCAAGAGAGGGCCGCCCACCAAAATTCTCACACCGTGCAAGGAGAGCATTGATCAGAGAATAAGAAGAAAACACGTTTGGAGTTCTCCAAAAGGCATGTGCAAGATTCCCCAAACAGGTGGAAGAAGGTCCTGTGGTCGGATGAGACTACAATTGAACTTTTTGGCCATCAAGGTAAACGCTATGTCTGGCGCAAACCCAACACCTCTGACCCCCCTCAGAACACCATGTTTTTCATCGGCGGGGACTGGGAAGCTGGTCAAAATAGGAGTGGTTTAAGGGGAAACATTTCAACGTTTTGGAGTGGCCTAGTCAAAGCCCAGACCTTAATCCAATCGAAAATCTGTGGTATGACCTAAAGATGGCTGTACACGAGCGGAACCCATCTAGCCCAAAGGAGCTGGAGCAGTTCTGTCCAGAAGAATGGAAACAAATCACAGTGGAAAGACGTGCCAAGCTTATAGACACATAGCCCAAGAGACTTGCAGCTGTTATCGCTGCAAAAGGTGGCTCTACAAAGTATTGACTTTGGGGGGGGGGGGTGATTGTTATGCACCCTCATGTTTTTTCATTATTATTTCTTGTTTGTTTCACAATAACAAATATTTGTTGCATCTTCAAAGTTGTCGACATCAAATAATACAAATTCTCGAAAAATCAATTTAAATTGCCAAGGGGGGTGAATACTTTTGCAAGGCATTATATATATTGCGAAATCCTTTGCTCCTCCTATTGTCTGTGACAATTTAATATATTGTTTGTGTATATAGCATTTACACATTTTTAGTATGTATATAGTAGATGTTCACAATGCTTCTATATTTATAGGTAAGCAGGTAGGGTACTAGGGTAATTAATCCCCGCGGGAAATGTCACTGTTACAGCAGAAACCAAATAAAAATAAAAAGCAAAAGTAACCTAAACAATATAAAACACTAATGAGCAATAACTCAAATATAAAAGGAGATCATTTTTACTCTAAATACAAACCTAAACAACTGCTCTTGCACCTGTGCTGCAGCGATACTTCAGTTTGCTTGGCAGGAATCAATAAAGTTGATCTGACCTTGTAATGCTAAAAGTATTTCAATGAAACATGTTTCAATTTCCCACACTTACTTTAGGTGGAATGAAGAATTCCAGGTAGTACTCCTCTCCTCGCTCCCCCCCTTCCCGGTCCCTCTCTTTGAGGACCAGACGACACTTATGCCAGCGTCCTCCTCTCCAGGGGACGTTCCCCCCGCTGGCCAGCGGCTGCACCCCCCCCTGAGCGGCAGCGGAGGATCCCGAGGCAGCGTTGTTGTTGTCCGTACCGTGGTGCAGCAGCCCGAACGAGAAGCCGGAGAAGCCGTGGCTTCCGCTTAGCTCGTCATTGGATGAACTGACACTCACCCCACCCTCCCGCACCAGCCGACCCACCTTCCTGGGGGGTCCCATGCCGGCTGCGGCGGCGCTGCTGGGTGGCAGCGTAGAGGAGCCGGAGTGAGGGCCGGCGTTGGTCGGAGTGAGGAGAGGGGGAGGGGATCGTGACAGCCTGAGCTTCTCAAGACGATGGCTCCACTTTTCCTTCTCGCATCCCTCGCCGTTGCTCCGCCGGCGATCCCTCGCCGCCTCAGAGAGAGACAGAGAGGTGGCGCTACTTGAAGATGAGGGCGGCAGCGAGGAGGAGGAGGAGTGGGGAAGGGAGAGGGGCATGGAGAGGGAAACGGGCATGGAGGAGGTGGGTGTAGGAGGCTGTGTACCAGAGTTCCTCTTTGAGCTTGACACCAGCGTGGCGTCCTGCACGCCCATGGTGTAGCTGTAGCTGGAGGGCAGCTGGCTCTGGGCGGAGTCGCTGGAGGAGCTTCGCCAGTGCAGGATGCCCCGCACGCTCCCCCGCACACTACGCCCCACACTCCGCAGAGAAAAGCGCTTCTTCAGTTTGTTTTTGGAGGAGTTGGGCGTACTGTTACCGGGCGGGGGAGAGGACGAGGAAGGTGAAATAGTGTAGGAGGGGTCTGCACCATCCACCTCCGCCAACTCTGCCTCCTGCTCCTCTGGCTCCACGTCTTCCCCCACAGATGCCACCCCTAACCAGCTGTCCTCCTCTTCCTCCACTGGAGCTTCCCCGTTGCCTGGAGCCATCATGGCGCCCCGCTCCTCACGCCTCCCGTTGTTGCCTCCCACTGAGGAGCAGCATGACGATGATGAGGATGGAGGCAGGACTTGGGTGTGGGCGTAGGAATCTTGGAACCTGTCACCACCGCGGTTCTCTAACACCAGTCGTGCCGGTGCTGGCTTGGATAAAGCCCGCATTGTGTTGGTGGGGGGGCACGGGAGGACAGCGGCCCCAGTCGCCGACAGAGGGGAGACTGCTTCCTCTTCCAGGGAAGTAGCGTCTGACTGGGGAGCCCAGCTCGCCATGTCGTCCCCCCCAGAAGCACAGCTCGGCGGGAGCGCCCCCTCCAGCTCACTCTGGAAGTGACGGACGAAGCGGTCGGTAAAGCGCCGGCAGAAGGCGGACGCCGAGTCCGGAGAGTAGTGGGGGTTCTCCAGGAGGAAAGCCCGAAAGTGCCGTGCAAAGTCACCGGCTGCAACGCGGGCGTGGAGCTCACAGAATTCGGTCCAACTCAGGCAGGGCGAGGGGGAGGGGGTGGGGGTGTCTGACAGGGAGGATGGGTGAGCTTGTGGTGGAGGGCTCACCAGAGGGGGGAGAGGGGGCGGCCGGGGGGACATAGGCAGCATGGAGGGAGATGGAGGGGATGGAGACGGGGAGGGGGAAGGAGGTAGAGGAGAGGAGTTTGCCGCCCGCGGGCTGGGCGGGGTTAGAAGAGAGCCGTTCATCCTGATGGTCAATCAAATCACTTCAAACATACGACAGAAAGCTGAAGTGATTGCACAGCTGGGGTCACTGACTGGGGGCAAACACGGCACATTGGTCTAATCATTTACAAATGAGTGTGAACTTAAGTGTCGTGCACAGGAGCCCCATCTAAAATGAAGACTTGAAATGCACCGGACCCACGCAAGATAGGGTTAAAAGAGGTCAAATATCTTCAAGGCTAAGCTTTCTGCTACATTATTTTTATAATTGTAATACTTTCAGCAAGAAAATGTCAGATTCAGACAGCCAGTAGCAGGATGGGAAGAGAAGGATGGGTTAGTTAGACCTGCCCTTTCTTCACTATCTGTCATACATCCAGAGAAGCGTGGCCACATCCTGTAAAAACACAGAAACAAACTGTGAGGTCAGTTTCATAATACTACGAAGGCTGGTAATTAACAGGTGAAGAATATTACATCAGAGGTTGCAGCAGAATTAAGGTCGAGAAATGAAGAGAGCTATCACCACAACAACAACAGAATGAAGGCTATTAGTCTATCCGGACCAAAGCACACAACAATCTGTTTAAGCCTGGATTTTAAAAAATAATCTGCAGAGCTTTCCACATTTGCTGTGAGAATTACCTGCAAAGGAGGGGAGCCCAAAAACGTTGAATTAAACCAGGTAACATTTAAATAACCAGCGTACAGGATGTGATTAGAGTTACCTTGTTAGTCAGATGGAGGATTTAGAAATCAACTCGGATTTGTGTTGGGAACAAGTTCTTTAATCTTGAATTTACATTACTTACTCAAACTACATTTATCTGACAGCTTTAAATTCTCCTCAGATCAAGGTTTTCGTAAACACAATCAAAGTCGATTATTATAATGTAAATATTAATTAAAAAAATGATGTATAAACATGATTTCAAAAACGAGAAAATGTTCTGCTTTTTCCACCTCATAATGTTAATATGTTAGTAATACAAGTAAATGGAGGTTTGGTCAAAGCACACATGGTTAATATGTCGATTTGGGTTTTGGGTCAATGGGACGCCATTTCTTATTATTTCCAGTATTATTACAAAGCAAACGACTCATTGATAATACGCAGATAAACCATAATACACATCATCTTCAGTTTGTATTTGAAAACGAGCTATACCTTTACCAACTACAACAGTTAAACCTTGCTTTTACATTATTGCAAGAGTAAAACAAATATAATGATATCGAGTATATTAGTAAAGTGGTCATATCTGGGACATGTTTATACTTTAAATTCTTTAACAACATGTTCTTGATTATAGCCTATACTTTAACTGCAGTAACATTTTCAGGGCAGGACTTTTTACTGTAACATAGTATTTTTACAGGATTACATTTGTGCATTTACTATATTAACTGAACACATCCTCCACCACTGTCAAAAATATAAATGATTGATCATTATTAATGAATGTATTCAAATATCACATTCGCACTTGTTAGCTAGCTAACATGAACTAGCAATGTGAGTGTTGCTCATTCAGCTTTCTTTAAAGACGTGTAACGTTCGCTAGCTAACAATAGCTAACCAACGTCAGCTAACTAACGGACCTGCTGATAATTAGCATCTGTATTTAATAATAATTGGTATGATATGTCTTATTTTGTATAACATGTCGCCACATAATGAATCATCCCAATAACAAGCAGCTATCACGAAAGAGTATTTGCGAGCTAAGCTAACCGTTAGCCTGTTAGCTTAGCTATTAATAAACCAGCTAGCTTAGCTATCAATATTGCTTAAGCACAATGTTGTGTGTGTTTGCTCTACCTGTACATCAGAGTCCAGTGTTTTCATCCGTGTCTGTGTGGTGGCACACATTTCATCCATCTTTTACTCACATAACGAAATAATAATAATTCTTCGTTAAAGGTTGTTGTTGTTGTTGCTAAATATGAATATTGCTATGCCTTGCCTGGACCCGTTCTTCTCGCACACTGCCCCTGACTCTCGCGATGGTTCGGTAGTACGTTAGGTCGGTGTTCGGTCGTTGACAGCTGCAGTTTAAAAAAAGTATTTAAAAAACACATGTGAAGGTAAACGGGAAAATGAGCCCCGTGGGAGAACAGCGACGGAGACTGACACCTTCCTCCCGGATTTCCACCCCTATCTCAGTAAACAAACAAACAAGCAAACAAACTGTAGTGGACAAATATCCTTCAGCCTATTTTAGAAAAAGTACAAACTCAGCTTTATTTATATATTTATTTATATAGAATATTTAATACAAAAATGCAGCCAAAATGTGCTTGGAGAAGAAAAAAAACATAAGCTCTTATGTTATTAATTATATAATTAATAAAACAAGCACCAGTTGTAAAAATAATAATGAAAAAAAGTGATTTAGTTTTAAAAACAAAGGGTACGACACTACTCCTATTATAAATACTTTAAAAGTCATATGTCTCTAAACAGGTAAAACTAGTATACTACAAAACAATAATATTGTACTATACCACACAAAATATGCTGTTAAAGTATGTAAAATATTCAATAAAATGTAGTTCAAGTATTTCAATTATAACAATGTAGTAGTGCATTCTCATAATATTATAGCCCAAATGATATCACTAGAATATTACTATTAGATATTTAGTAGGGATACTGGTTTAACCTGCACCAGCTTGGAGAAAAGTAAAAATAAAGAGATTAAAATATATACATGTCAACATAAAGATGAATAAATAAAAACAATACACAGGGGGAAAAAATATGTAAGAGAATAAACTAATATTTTGTAATTTGTAAATAAATATATAATATCTATTCATTATTGTAGCTATTTATGTATATATTTCCATATGTTATTTACTTATTTATTCTTTATTTATTTTGTTTTACATTTCAATATTTTCTGTTTGTATTTCAACACTTCCTATTTATTTATTTATTTATGTTGTTTTGTTTCTGTTTATTTCAACGTTATGTACTAACTTACTAGCATGTTTTCTTTCATTTATGTTCACATGTTAACATTTTCATTTACCTTTTAATTTTGTATGTACTTCTGTTTTTATTTCCAATTACATATGACTCAATATTGCTGTTTCCGATACATATATACAATCATTGACTGTACATATAATGTACAATTAAACAGAAATTACCATGGCCTTTAAAATAATAATAAATAAATATTTTGAGTATTTTACTGTTAATAGTTATTTTGATGTTCATTATATTGCATTGGTTTATTCTGTATATATAAAATAGAGACCATCTTAAACTCAGAAGTGTTCAAGAAAATAATGAGGAAGCAGGTTATGTGGAAAAAGATGTTGTTGCATAACAGAAATGACCCTTGTTGAGGATTTGAGATTTCCTTTGAAGTGAACGGAACATGTGCAGAGTCCGTTATGTTGCCTCATGTTCTCTTCCTCCAGCCGTTACTGGAGCTCAGACAGCAGTCATTGTCAGCTTTACACGTTGATATGGAGCATCCACCGGCGGCGGACAGGCGGAGAGCCCCTCTGCAGATCAGAGTGAACCAGTAGAGCTGCAGGGGCCACAGCAGGGCGGCCCCCAGGTTGCACTGCCACGGGGCCACCAGGGGCACCACGTACACGGGGATGGACGCATACCTGAGACACAAAGAGTGAATCATGCTCATTACTATTCAGTGGTAAAAACATGACCCACGGTGGCAGTTAAGCTTCACAAGGGGTCATGGGGCCCCGAGGGAAGTTTTTTGAAAGGAAGTCTGTTTTCACATTCATGGAATTTGCTTTGATTCAAACTCAATGATTCAAATGCTTAGTTTTTGGCTAAAAAACATCTTCCTTCCAACAGTGGAACATACAACACTGAAGACGTAAAAACTAAATAAAACAGTGCAATAAATCAGTGCAAGATACATTATTGTGCAACTAAAATGGTGTATATTGGTGCACATAAACACGATAAGAGAAATTAAAAGAAAATGGAAAAATAACAGCAAGTAGAAAATAAAAAACAGTTATAAAAACGTTTATAAAACTAAAAGAAGCATTAATGTACCAACAAAAAATGTGAGGAAACTATGGCAAAAATATTAGATAGGATTGGAAAACACTGATTTAGCTAAAAAAACAACCACCTGCAAACTGCCACTGGATGGCGCTGTGTCTTTAAACAGTTTGTCTCCTGACAGGAAGTTAGCAAAAAAGTATTTGTTTTTATAAGGAAAGCATATTTTTGCGTCATATTATATTTTCAGAAGTCTTTATGGACATCTTGCATGTAACTAGATTGAAAACTAATAATGTTCTAAAAACACCCTCAACACATAGGTGATTTGTCTTTCTATACTAAGTCAAAATTAAGCTAAAATAATATTTTAAATCATCCCCTACATCCCCTGCTACAAAAAATTAAATGTATCCATTTTTGTTATATTATATATATATATAAATGTTTTTCCCGTTATTAAATAGGAGAAAATGCAGGGTTTTTTTTTAGTATTAAAAACATATAATTAGAGCAATCTGTTGAATTGCCATTTAGTGATTGATGCTAAAATAAAAATAAAATTAGAACACAACTTTCACTGCAAAGAACATACATCCAGTGTGATCAATTATATATTTAATTAAAACATTATATCTGTATGATTTTTCACAATTTCTGAAAAATACAGAAAATATATTTAATGTAGCCTATATGTGGCCTTTAAAAAAAAAAAATGTTATTATATAATTTGTAATTCTATGCTTAATATATTTAATGTATATGTGCTCTTTTATATATATTTCTTGTTCTATACAATTTATTTTGTTAATATAATTTTAAAAAATAAAATGTTTACACAATATAAATTAAACAAAGAACATGGCACATGGTTTCCCTCAAAACGCAGTTATTTTTTTGTAATTTGAAAATGTAGGCTATTTTGCAAATAATAACCAATAATAAAAAGTAACTCAAGCTGAAGTTAAATAAATTAAGTGTAGTGAAATAAAACAATAGTTACCTCTGAAATGTATTACAGTAGTGAACAATGAAGTACTAGAAGTAATTAGTTACTTTACCTGCTGTAGGCGTAGTACAGGTAAGGGAAGAGTAGGACCCGGCAGCAGAAGAAGGCGAGCAGCATCAGGACTCCGTTCACTTTGTGCAGCACAGTGTGCTGCTGCTGGTACTGACCACAGGGGAGGAAGTACGGAGGCTCAGACAGGACAATATTGCAAAAGTATTTTTTAAGGTCTTGATTTTCTAATATTAAATGTAATATATAATAAGCCAATGTATCTTGAAATCATTCATTTATTACCAAATTATCTTGACATTTAAAACATATAATTATATTTTAACAGATATATATCTTTATTTATGTATAGGGTTGGTATACCTGGATGAGTACTTTCCCAAGACAGACGAACGGGGTGCTGAGCTCAGCCAGAAACAAAACACCCTGGAAGAAATCTCCTTTCCCCTGACGCCACATCTGACCCACACACACACACACACACACACACACACACACACACACACACACACACACACACACACACACACACACACACACACACACACACACACACCCACACACACACACACACACACACACACACACACACACACACACACACACACACTTTGAGTGATATTACTCTACTAAGTCTGTATTATGTTCTTATGTTTGTGTAAGTCTTTAACCTCTTTTCCTGTCGTACACTGTTTTCTTGGTTTTGTTCTCCTTTTTTGCTTTTCTTTATGTTATATCTCTCACAGGCTCCGCCCTCTACTGGACTCTATAGAGTTGCAAAGTCCCTCCCCTTCCGGTGGACCTCTTGCTGAAGTCCAATAGTCCATTTAGTGATTGTATGAACTATGAAAATATCTTAAAATCAATACAAATGTATTTATTATAAACGTTAGTCCTTAACATCTGTCACTGTGTATATCACCATTCAAACATCTTTTAAAAGTTGAACAAACCCCACACAGCTCAGTAAAGACTGTGAGATGTTGACTTTATTTGATCATTTCAGTAAAAACTAACGTTCATATTTCTCTTTTTGATTATAATACTGATGAACGTTCAGAAAAAAGCACTTTGGCAACTTACCACATACGTTTTAAAATGCTTAATAAGCACCGTAACTTTCATGATATAATTTCTCCGTCATAATCGGTTGTTTCCGTGAACGGCCGAATGTTGAGTATGCAAATGTTGCGACTGCAATGCATTGTGGGGCAGCATTTTCTCCTCTCCTTTCGGTTAGGGAGGTCCAGTGGTTCCTAAGCTAAAGGAGGTTATAAAGGAAGTTTGAAACCTCCTTTCCTTTCATTTGGAGAATTGGAACGGCACTTATCTGGCTGCCAGTGACGTACTTCCGGGTCATTTCACTCCGTTAGGAAGGTTCCTAAGCTAAATGGACTATTGGAATGCAACCCTGGTCTTTTTAATGTTTAATGTCAACCATTTGTGCAGATAGCATGAAGTAGAAAAGATCGGCGATCGCCGATGCTAGCGTTAGCATTTCTCCCCCGGGCTTAAATTGTGTATTATAGAATGATCACACCGGTGACAGTACTCTTCAAAGGGTTCACGAAATATGACTACTACTCTTACTGTTTAACATTTTGGGTTATTTAATGTATTTATATTAAGGCTAATAAAAATGACTAGGCTGTAATGCTAACTAACGTACTAGCTAGGTAGCTAACTTGATCCAGCCACTCCTGGTCCTTTCATCAGACGGGAAGCGAAAGAACGAGCAAGACCCATTGCTGGTATGATAACAACCTGGTACTAAGCACCAGTGGCGGCGGGTCATTAGGGGCACAGCCCCACCTAGTGTCAGAAGAAAGTATTACAAATAATGATTACAAAAAAATACTAAAAAATAAATAAAAAAACATATAAAATATATTTTAAGGTCATGTTTAATAATCTGATTCGTCTGTACATTTCTGTTTTAGTCTGTGTTCTTCTAATTAGTGTCTAGAGTGCCGTTTTGAGCTGTTTAGAGCCATGTGGGACAAAACCCGATCCTGCCCCTCCCTCTCACAGTCTAAGTGAACGGTGATTGTAAAAACTACACTGCGCATGCTCAGAGTATTTTTCTATTTAATGTGTGTGGCAAAAAAATAATGACCGTAGGGGCATAGTGCTCCCATCCCCACCATACGTCATCTCACATAATTCAGAATTGATTGGATGTAAGTACTCACGTGTGCAGTGCTGCGAAACGTCACGTGTAGTTTGAAGAGGAGACGAGAGAGCAGCATATAGCTAACATCACCAGCGATTAAAAGAAGTAAAAAACTGAAAGAAAATGAATGAAGTTGACCATTTACTGGAGCACACATTTGAGACACTTAGTCTCGGAGAGAAACCGGAGGTAAAGCGCCTCGGTGCCCACCATCCACCGGATTTCCAAATGGTCCAGACTGCGGGCAAAGTTAAACGTGGGTTTAACGCTGAGTGGTTTGCTAAAAAGAAATGGCTAACGGCGAGCATCCAGAAGAATTCCCTCTTTTGCTTTCCTTGCCTGCGTTTTGGTGAAGATCAAGGTACTTGGTCGAGGACAGGTTACAAGGACTTAAAGCATCTTTCGGAGAGGACAATGAAGCATGAGAGCAGCAACAGTCATTTGGAAAATGTCGTAAAATTGGGATTACTTGGAAGGGTGAATGTTGCAGCTCAGATTGACAGCGCCTACAGACGCGGCATTGATTCTCATAATAGGAAGGTGGAAGAAAACAGGTACGTGCTTCGTCGGATCATCACCTGTATTAAACTGTGTGGGAAATGTGAGACAGCACTGCGGGGCCACAACGAGTCGGCGGACTCTGAATCCAGGGATATTCAGGTCAATTTTCGAGACAATGTGTGAGGGCGATTCCAGGCTTCAACGGCACTACGAAGCTCAGCTTGTTTTCAAAGGGACATCAAGCACCATACAGAATGAACTCTTGGACTGCATGTATGATGTGTACAGGGAGGAAATAGCCAAGCAAGTGGACAACACATCATTTGTTGCCGTTCAGGCCGACGAGACAACCGATGTCTCCTGTAAATCGCAAATGGTGATTGTGCTGCGATACATTATGCCTGACCTCACAGTTACAGAGCGTTTTTTGGAGTTTGTGGAAGTAAAGGACAAAACTGGTGTAGGTCTCTCTAACAGCATCAAGGCTGTTCTGGAACCCCTGAAGCTGAAAGAAAAGCTAATCGCTCAGACCTATGACGGGGCGGCCGTCATGAGCGGTAACGTGCGCGGGGTACAGACGGTGATGAAGGAGACGTACCCAAACGCTCAGTTTGTTCACTGCTACGCCCACCAACTGAACCTGACCCTGCAGCAACTGTGTTCAGCAAGGATGAGCATCCTGAAGGTGTTTTTTGCAGATCTAACTGCTTTTTTCACTTTTTTCTCCGGTGCTCCAAAACGTGTTCCAGCTCTTGCAGAGGCAACACAGAGACGCATCCCACGGCCACCGGCTGTGAGATGGAACTTTAAAAGCAGAACTGTGAACGCGGTTTGGGAGACCCGAGATGCACTACTTCAGTGTATGAAGCATATACGCGCACAACCAGGATGGGATGCGGTCACCATAAGTGAGGCATACGGCCTGTCCAGGGTCGGCTCTAGAACAAATCAAATGGGGGGGCAATCATTTACCAAGGGGGGGCACACACTGCCGTCAACAACCAAAACACAAACACCAACGCAACTTCAATTAAAAAAAACATGCTGTAAAGTCTATTGTCTTTCACACACATTGAGGGGTGTATGTGCTATTTCCTAGCGCACCTATGACTTGTGCATACATGCACGGTTGTGGCACAACCACCAAAACAGAAACATATGGACATAGGCCACCATATAAAAAGTGTGCAAATGTATTTTGTATCCTATCCATGTGAACATGTTTTAGGTGGGGGTGGACCTAACGTCCTCTAGGAGGGTCTGGGGGCATGCTCCCCCGGGAAGATTATTTTTAAAATATTGAAGTTAAATGCATCAATCTGGTGCACTTTGAGAGCAAAATGAAGAGATCTATGGATAGCCTACATCTCTCAGCATTCATATGAAACAGAACTGTACACAGATTTACTTTTTCTTTATGGATATTTTACTAATCACTCCCCTTTTAAACTGTATTCGTGTGTTACTGTCCTATAGTATTTCATACCCGTTTTTCATTTATTCTCTTATTTTTTTAATAACTAGGCTATAGGCTAATGATCATATTACATTACATTACATTGCATTTAGCTGACGCTTTTGTCCAAAGCGACTTACAATAAGTACATTCGACCAGGAAGACACAACCTTGAAGAAAACAGAATCATATAAGTATATCAGGTTTCATAGAGCCAAACATTTCAAGTGCTACTCAACTGGCTTTAGGTAATCCAGTCCTTTATTGGTATAAAAGTGCTTCGTTAATCGTTCTAACGCTCGAAGTGGAGTCGAAAGAGATGAGTTTTCAGTTTGCGCCGGAAGATGTGCAAGCTATCTGCCGTCCTGATGTCAATGGGGAGCTCATTCCACCATCTTGGAGCCAGGATAGCAAACCCACGTGTTTTCGCCGATGGGAACTTGGGTCCCCCTCGCAGCGAGGGCGCAACGAGTCGTTTGGCTGATGCAGAGCGTAGTGCACGCGCTGGGGTGTACGGTTTAACCATGTCCTGGATGTAGGAAGGGCCAGATCCATTCGCAGCATGGTACGCAAGTACCAGTGTCTTGAAGTGGATTCTAGCAGTTACCGGAAGCCAGTGAAGGGAGCGGAGGAGCGGAGTGGTGTGGGAGAATTTAGGAAGGTTGAAAACCAGACGAGCCGCTGCATTCTGGATGAGCTGCAGAGGTCGGATGCCACATGCAGGTAGACCAGCCAGGAGGGAGTTGCAGTAGTCTAGGCGTGAGATGACGAGAGCCTGGACCAGAACCTGAGTCGCTTTCTGAGTCAGCTGGGGACGTATCTTCCTGATGTTGTAAAGCGTGTATCTGCAGCAGCGGGTTGTAGCAGCGATGTTTGCAGTGAAGGACAGGTTGTTATCTAGGGTCACACCCAGATTCCTTGCAGTCTGAGTCGGGGAAACAACTGAGGTGCCGATGTTGATTGTCAGGTCAAGAGTTGGACAATCTTTTCCCGGGAGGAAGAGCAGCTCAGTCTTGTCAAGGTTGAGTTTGAGGTGGTGAGCAGACATCCACTGAGAGATGTCAGCTAGACAAGCAGAGATGCGTGCGACGACCTGGGTCTCTGAGCGGGGAAAGGACAGAATTAATTGGGTGTCGTCAGCGTAGCAGTGGTAAGAAAAACCATGCGGGCTAATGACTGATCCGAGCGAGTTTGTGTACAAGGAGAAGAGGAGGGGACCAAGAACAGAGCCCTGAGGGACCCCCGTAGTTAATTGACAAGGGTCGGACTCAGACCCTCTCCAAGTCACCCTGTAGGTACGGTCTTTCAGGTATGAGGTGAGGAGGGAAA